AATAATTTACTATTAGAAAAACATAATGATTATGATGAGTATGTAAATGATGAATCGTCGGACGAAGCTGAAGCTGATCGACTACTTGGTCTTGGTGGTGGTGGTTGTAGTAGTAATAGTAGTGGTATTCCACCTTTAATGATTAATCGGTCAAAATTGTTAGATAACAATTCTACAAATGGTCTACTCGATAATAATAATCATCAATCTACTGGAAGTATTAGAAATTATTCGGAATGCGATGGTGGTGGTGATGATGATGGTGACGATGGGGAATTTGATGAAGCTTATGCATTTTGGCAAGAATTAATGCATGAAAGAAGTATCAATATTGAAGATATGAATGCTGGTCTAATAGAGAATAATTTTGATAATGAATCTAATTTATTGGTAATCATTTTTGTTTATTTCATACACATATTTCGCCTATTTGAGTTTCCTTTTTCTATACCAACCTATTTTTGTAGACGTGAATAATTTTCAAGATATATGTATGTTGAAGGTTGTAGATGATGTGTAGGGAGTTGTCATATCAATTCACACACCGTTGGAAGATGTTTCTTCTTAAAGAACCTGAAAAAGAAATTGAATTGGTCATAATCTTAATGACCACAATACTCAACAGTTAACTTCTTGAGTTCAGTCATATACGGACTTGAAGGCCTTACTTCAGGATACGGAAACCTATAGGATAAAATAAGGTGTAGTGTTTCTAAGGTCGACCTTTCTTAACCTCTTCCGTTGTGAGGTGATAATTGTTTGAAAGAAACATCTTACTGCTGTTACACCCCTCTACATTCAACAGTACAAATTCATAGTGGAACCTTGATTCTCAGTTTCTAGCGTTTCATTTCTCCGAACGACTTATTTGTTTGGTATGGTTGGACGCGAAAGAACAAGTGTTCTGTGTAATATAGCCCTGTTAGGTCATCACAATAGACATGCCCGACCACCACGTCCTAACGTGTTGGAAATATTGATTATTTTGCCATTCAATGTACAATCAAAATCTGGTAATACATCTTCGCCTATGATTGTTGTAATAATTATCTTTTTGATATTATTTTCCTCAATCATTAATGAATATCTATACTACTGGATGCATTTCTACTCCTTGTTAGCTAGTCAGTTAAATTTCGTACAAAATAAGAAGTAATCGTGTTTCACAGTTTGGAATAACCAAACAAATGTCGGAAACATCTCTGAATCAACGTTACAAATGATAGGGCTATGAAAATAATGCTGCGCTATAACAAAATAATATAACTAAAACTGTTCATGGGTCTATATTAAAACACTATTGAAATCTGTTTGTTAACATTCTTCAATTTGTGATATCCCCTATTCACTGGAAAAATTGAAATCTTTATATATAGTGGAGTGGAGCATGGTCGCTTAATGTTCAAGGCGTTCATACAGTTAGAGTGTGACTTGAATAAAGCGAAATATATATTTGTATCTGGTAACAAGTTAATAGTCATATGCTTTATGTATGTTCAAAAACAATTCGTTTCCACTATAATGGACACATCTGCCTTAGTGATCATCAGTTCATTCTTTTTAATTTTTGCAGGATGAACCACCTAATAAATCATTACGTTTACTTGACAATGGACAAACTCATAACTTATCAACAGTTCAACACTCTGAAGATCCAGATATTGACGCAGCTATTAGAAGTATTCTGTCGACTACTGACTAATACGACAAACAAGAAAATATCTTTTGTATATTATGTTAATATTTCGAAATTAATTGAAATCATCATATTATTATCATTACTACTATATATTATTATGTATGGTGTCCCACATGTGTAGGCCCTAATCTGATCTTTCAAAATTTGTACATTATTTTATCTTTTCATGTATCAATGATTTCCCCCCTCTTTTCTCTTTGGTAAAAACAAAAGTTGAATAGGACTTCTCTAGATAATCTTGTTTGTTGATTGTCGTTTCTCTTATTCTTCTTTTTCGTCATATCTCTCCTCGTTTTATAATATTTATAATAACAGACTCTTCCATACATTCAACTGTGCCTTTTTGTGCTTATTTCACTTTCTTTTCTATTGTCCTATTCCCTCCCCCTATTGATTTTTTTCCTTTTCTCCTCCACTTTGTCTTATCTTCATCCTCTAATTCCTTGAATTCTACTACTACAAACATATCGGTAAAACTTAATGATCCTATTAGTAGTATATTTGTTTTAATTTGAATTATTTTTTTTTCAATCACAGTCATATATATTCATAATCGTGTATAATAAAAATGGGATTGATCGAGATTAACAATAATAAGTCAATTGTCATTCAATGAAATATTCCAATTATGTGTTGTTTTCATATTGTTGTCGTTGTACAGTAATTTCTTTCTTTTCTTTTCTTTGTTTTCTAGGTGTAAATTTGTTTACTATTTCCATGTACATGTATAAGCCTTTGTGCATATTATACATATGTAATTCTTAATTGACTAAAAATGTGGTTTGTTAATGAGCGACAATTCCTTATCATATATATATATATATATATATATATATATATACAAGATTTCAAAGTTGACTGTTGAAGAGGAACTTTCTTTCTTATTCATTTTGCTAGTTTGAAATATACATATATAAGTACATATATATTTACTTTTTTATATATATATACTCAGTTGAATTTACCAAAGGGAAATGTTATGTTGACCACTTGTCTGTTGCATAAAATCGTGAACATTAATTTTAATACCTTTTTTGTTATAAGCAAAGATGAATAGTGGCTAGCAGTGGAATCCAGTCCTATTTGGGACTGCTCAGCTAGATGTACATGCATCTCAGAGTTGATGTTCATTCTGGGACTCACTAGAACCCAGTACCTTTGCACAAGCAAGTGGCTATCAGGACTCAGTAGCTGAGTGGATAACGCGATAGCGTTTGAAGCGAAAGCTACTGGGTTCGAGTCCCAGAGTGAACATCAACTCCGAGATGCATGTACATCCAGCTGACGAGTCCCAAATAGGACGAAACGTGCGTCAAACTGTATTCCACTACTAGCCACTATCCATTTTTGCTTACAATGTTTGTGAATTAAGGCTATATCGAGGCAATACGCACAGTATGCACATATGCCAATTAGAGACTGACCAGTTGCAGTCCTAACACATCGATGGGAAGATTCAAACAAACAATACTAAATGAACTTTTTTGTTGTCTACACAGAGGAAATTAATCGTACAACACTCCCCGTATATTTTAGACCTTAGTTATTGGATTATTATGAATAAATTACTGCCTCAGTTTGATTATTCGTAAAATTATTCTAAATCATTTTCGTACATTTAATGTTTATATCCTAATGAGTCGGTGAAAGTCGTCAACATAATTAATAAATTACTGTATCTCTCTTTACATAGTTAAAGCTAATTAATGAATTGTATACGGATATAATAGGCAAGAATTAAGCCTAACACATTCAGGTTTTAATTGATTATAGAATTAGTAAAACACAACACCGATTTCCTTCAATCGCCTATGTTATTTGATTATGTTAGGTTTTCTGTTAACGTGTTTATAAGCATATTATTTTATTAGATAAAAAAGGCCTCTTTCAACGACTAGTAATCATTAACTAGTCTACTAAGTTCATTATTGAGAAATAATACTGTGTTTTGGATAAGAAAACAAAGAATGTTGAAGTTAGACATTAACATCGTTGGACATCGGCCCAGTGGTCTACAAAGTTAAGTGTTCGCGCGTGAAACCAAAGATTCCGAGCTCGTGGGTGTGCTTTGCTGAGACGTCCCACACCAGGATGAGACAATTGTTTAGTACTTTCAGGTTTTCAATGGTGGTCTAACATTGATCGGTTTACGGTCTCAATTAAAAAATAGTTTTAGTGTATGGTAAAATTTTACTGTACTTTATTTGTAACAACTGCCAGTGCTTTTTTACATTTATATTCCGAATAAAACCTAGAGCCAATAGAAGTGTTCTACCATTAGTATATCTAGGACATATGTTTGCTTTCTGAAGATGTCGAATTCCATGTTGGTTTAGAGATAGTTCAAGTCATAGAATCACTAACGTAAGAACAACTGCTCAAGGTGATGTCTATATATTTCAATCATCTCGACCTATGTCCGCACAGTCAACTTCCTTCAGTAATGAGTTATATCATGAACTTTAGTGACAGGTGTTTGCATAATTTAAAGTGTCAGTCACCTCTTGCTAAAAGTCCTATCACCAATATTTTCTTTGTAATGGTCACTTGGTTGCACGTTCAATCAGTAGTTTTTACATTAAGATCCTTCTCTACTCACCTAAATTTGAAGGCAACTGGTGGTCTCACTTACCTTTACAAAAGCAGACTACTTCGAAATTAGATACGTTAGGTCATAGTAAACCAGTAATGTGAATTTTCATAACTGAATATATATTCAAAATGTAACTTCATCGCACATATGCATAGATTACGATCACTCATGAAAACTTTGATAAACACTGGAGCGATTTACTTAAGTAAACAGTGCTTTATTCGTTCATTAACCATACTTTTGTGCAGGTTAGTGGTACTACTTGTTGAGTTGAAAGAAACTGACTAGGCAAAAGTTCTCACATGATATTAAACGGATAAAAGTAGAATCCTTCAACCAGTTCTCCACTTCATTTTAATGCTAAATCCATTGGCTTTCAATTAGGAAATGTTTACCCTTGATTGAGATTTCCAGAGTACAGATATTTTCTTAAGTTATCAATATAGTGTACATGCAAATTAGTTAATAGTCTGATATATCTGAAAACCCATTAGTCTTTTACGTAGCTGAAACTATACTTGGTAATATTAAAGCAAATTATTCTCATTAAAATTATCGTTTCAATAGTGTATTAAACTATAATCCGAATCTACCCGTGAACTCTTTGATTGCTTTTGTTCTACTTATAAGTAACTTCAAACACTTTTTTTCAAAATTTAATTCGCTACTTCTATTTACTAATTTATAACTTATCAAATCTTATAAATAGTATTACCAAACAAAAATGAATTTATTGGATTCTTGGTTGGATAAATTGGAAATTGAAAATAGTAGTAGACATAACAACAGAGATTTCATGGAACATCGTCTCAATTCATGGTTAAACAAAATATTAGATCATTCTACAATAAATAAAATTGTTTGCATCACTTCCGGAGGTACCATTGTTCCTTTAGAAACAAATATGGTTAGGTATATTGATAACTTCAGGTAAGTTCATTATTCAGATAAAAAAAATTTAAAATCCTTGATATTCACTGAAATTTATTTATCTTTTTACTTCTACCCTAATGGGCAATGCTTTGATGTTTGTAGTGATAGGAACTGGATTGGAGTCCCATAGTATGTGTGAATCAATACTTAAATCCAGTTGACAAGCTCCATGTAGGATGGAACAGCAATCCTGGATTTCAACTCTATCCAAAATACACTAAAATCTAAATGGTTATACTTAGAATAAGTGTTGAATCTCGTTTCATCTTATAGTAGTTGCTGTCTAACGTTTACTCAACAATATTCTAGATATTTAAAATAATTATTTCAGGATCTCACTAATATTCTCTTCAGGTTTAAGATGTTTCTGTTGGTTGTTTCTCGAATTAATGACATACGTATCTTTCTACCTTAGAGCCAACCTGTGCTCCCTTTATTATATTAGAACTTAACTCTTGGATAGTTTTATGAAGACATTAGTGGTTGAGTATAGATTGTTGTCATAATTACCAACTCAGAAGGACCAAATATCTTTGATAAATGATACATCTGGTTATTTTTCATTATAGTTGAGCTTTTCAGCTAAACACTACATAAGTTTATTGCAGTAGGAGTTCAGTCCCATGGTACAACTTCAGCTCTAATGCTTATCCCCAACATCTAGCATTGTCAATTTTAGGATAGTTGTATATCGAGTTTCGCTAGGACGTTGATAGATTGAAAACTTGTTCGCAACACTTAGATTGGATATCAGATATGAATCTCTAAGATATATATAATCTTTCAAGGGTCCTTGTTAAGTATTCCTCTTCTCTCAGATACGCTTGCGATAACCATGAAGACTGTAATGATTATGCAAGATTAGGACAACCAATTATGCTGATATTAAAGCTGAATGTATTTGCTTTCTGACCGCCGATCTAATGTCCAGATGATTACTGATGAATCGAACTTTAAGAAAATTGTATGTACTCACGATTCTAGTCGAACATTCTGAGTTCATAAAGGACTGTGAGCCAACCTTTTCCTATATGTAGGGTGTGATTTGAAGGGGATAAAATTGATACTTCCTTAATTTTGTCCATTTCTTATGAATTCGGTTCACACATCTCATTATGATAGATTACGATGTGTATGCATTGAAAATTTAACTTGATTGTGTTGTTTGTTTGTTTTTCAAATAATAGTACAGGTTTAAGAGGTGCACTTTCTGCGGAATATTTCCTACGTTCAAATTATGCTGTATTATACTTTCATCGTAAAGGTTCTTTACTACCATTTTTACATCGTATAACCAATCAACAACAAAATTATCACCGAGAAAAAGAAGAAGAACAGCAACAACAGCAAAAATGTACGAAAGAGGTGGATTCAAACAACTTAATTAATACTAATAATAATAATAGTAATGGTAACCAAAATAACATAGGAATATTTAATTGGTTCATGTTTAATCCACAGGATAATAAATTACAATTGAAAGAGAATTCTTTACAGTTTCTAAGCTCAATATTCAATGAATATACTATGTATGGTGAGTAGTATATTGTCAAGTTTTTGCGTGTTTGCATTATTATTCATTGTTGTTTAAATGTTTTACCCAGTAGATAATAATTTTAAAATGGGCTTTTTTGTCAAGCAAAATAAAGATAACTCGGTGGTCTAGAGGTTAAGTGTTTGCGCGCGAAAACGAAGGTCCTGGGTCCGAATCCCATATCCAGGATCGTGGATTCGCACTGTTGAGTAGTCCCATACTAGGACAAGCAGCCATCCAGTGCTTCCAGATTTTCAACGGTGCTCTGAAATCAATCGATTCATGATCTCAATCAAAAAATTCATTTTCTATTTGCCAATGTCACTTACTAAAGCTGTGTAATCGTATTTAATAGTAAATTTTACACAAAAGTAGTGTACGATAAAAATAGAAAAGTATTGCATCATTGACAAAAATATCAAAAGTTAGGCGAAAATCGAGTACCAAGTAAAGTCACACAATAATCAGACGCAAAAGTGTGTTATGACTTATGGACTTCTCAAATATCACATGACAAAGTCACCAATCATAATACCAACTTCGTGACCTTGTCCCAGAGCTAGGCCAATCATACGTCAACCTTCACTAGCAGCCTTGCGTCAAGTGTGAATCCTTATTGGTCTTCTGTATAGTAACTTTTCTCTCAGCTCTGTCTATTGAGACCAGAACACAATCTCGGCCTCTACTGTATAAATCGTACACTCCAGATATACGTGGGTTATATACAAGCAGACCAGACCACATCACACCATAAAATCAAAAATAATCATTATACAAAATCAAACTGAAAATGGCTGTGAGTATGGAAAACTGTAACTAATAGATTGGGAATAAATTGAGAATGGTACATCATATAACAGTAGCCAATCGGTCAAATGAAAGATTATGACAAATAGAATATGAATAGAAACTTAATCTAGTCAATCAATAGTTAGTTATACAATAAAAATACGTAAAATAATGGTCTATAAATAGGTCTTGGAAGTTACCATTTCTTCAAATGCAACAAAATGGAAGAAACAGTTTTTCAATCATTAGACTAGATACGAACAAATAAGAATTCAACAGAGTCCATTAGTCATCCAAATGCTGACATAAAATCTGGCACAATTTTGTACTGGTTCAAGTTGCCACTCTATATTGGCCTAGCCAGAGGAAATTATCAAGATGAATATGCTAGTAGTAGAAGTAGTAACAGTACCAGTAAAAAACTTTCGGAATATACAACACGATTTCATAATGAATTTGTGGGATAGAAAAATTCACGATAATTTTAAAACTCAATATTTAAATGATGAATGATTCGGAAATATCTTCAAGCAGTGGTTACAATAATCGTGAGGATCGCAGCATGATAATATGTATCTACCTACAGAGCTTAATGCAGCAATCAATTACTCCATTATTTATTATTTCAACACATAAATATTGGTACAAGGAAGCACCATATATATATGCGCCACACAAATCTCATTCGATTTGTGTGTGGACTGTGATACTGCTCAGGTGCCCAAACTGAAGCAGGTGGTTTTCTTAGGGGGACACACCCGGAGCTTTTGACCCAATAGTCTGATCCACAAGGCAGTGGAGCATCGTAAGGAGATGCAGTCCCATGGTAACCGGTGATCAACGGTTGATTCGTATGCCATTTGTTCCCTCAGGATACTGGAGCCCGTGTGCACCATTGGTTTGGAATCAGGGTTTTCCAACTCCCCTAGGTGGACTTTCTGTGTCCACCAACCAGGTTAAAGCGCCGTAGATTTGCTTTTCGTCCTATCAATTTCGTAAAGAACAGTAATGCCACGAGAAGGCAGTGAGTAGGACTTCCCTGGCAGGGGCTATATAGGCGTGACCATGTGAGAGCATTTGGAGAGGGAGAGCGGACTCTCGCCACTCTCAGCTGTACCAGGGCATTTGGGTACTGATGCCACGTCCTGGATTATCCATTCTTACTGATAAGTATTGACTAACTGTAAATCTAGTTTTATGGCTTCCTGTTGACTGCCTTGAATTGTTTGACGTTAATATACACCTAACATGACTCTTTGTTAACTGCTTTCATTTATTATTTTAACAATAATACAACATATTAATGATTACTTTCCAATAATCTCTTTGTTTTCATTCATGCCTAACTAACACAAGGTCAGTACTTATTTACATTAGATTTTGAAACAATAGAAGATTATTTAATCGGTTTACGTTGGATAGCTAAACAATTAGAAGCGATTCATGTAAACAAAAACAGTACACAGAAATCAATTCATCTATCCTTTTATTTATCTGCTGCTGTCTCTGATTATTATTTAAATAGAGAATATCGTCCAGAGCACAAAATACAAACAAAATCAATGTTATCTACTACTACTACTGCTAAGAGTAGTGATGATTATTTAGATAAATCTTTATCAAGAATAGAAGATTTACATTTATCATTACAACCAGTACCTAAAGTTATGAAATTACTCACTACATTATGGTCACCTTCTTCATATGTGATTAGTTTTAAAGTAAGTTAAACAATAGTAAGTGATACATTTTGATTTTCCAGTTTGCCTATATTCACTAACCACATTTACAATGGAGTTACCTAGGTAAAGTCAACAGTTCAACTTCATTCAATTTAAGATACAATAAAACAAATGATTAAGTAATTTTGCACTGATTGCTTATTTTATCACCAATAGTTTTCCAATTCAAGCTGTTTTTTCCATTTCTTTTGCTTTTGTTGCCCATCACTGCTTACTATCGTTCCTTAGACTTTTGGTTAATCTAGATCTGATTTTTTTTTCGCCATTCATCATCTTCTTTACTATAGAACTGTCTTGACGTTCTTATTGAGGATTCTCACTTTGATATTGGTTAACAGTTGTTTTGAGTTCCATACATTATTCAACTGAAGGAATGCCGCCCTTGCCTTGCCAATCCTCGCCTTTACATCTTCACCCGATTCTCCTTGTTCATTGATGATGCTGTCGAGCTACGTGAAAGTCCACACCTCGTTCAGAGTTTATCCATCAAGTGTGATTGGGTAGATGTTTTCTGTGTTGTATTTGTGGATCTTGCTTTTTCGCTTGTGTATGTTGAGGCCTACTGATGCAGAGGCTGCTGCTACACTATTCGTTTTGACCTGCATTTATCACTGTGTATGAGATAGAAGAGCTAGATCATCTGCGGAATCCATATCGTCTAATTGCATGCAAGCTGTCCATTGTATTCCGTGCTTCTGCTTAAGTGGGGTCCTTATGATAGCTCATTAACTATGCAACATTCCATAATTAGATAAAAACGTGATCATAACAATTTACTTTCAAGTAGATATTCTATTACTTATTTCTCAAAATCTATTCAGTTTTGAATTGGTGTGATAATTTGTATGTACAAAACTGGATGTAGTCTCTTTTTCTTTAGCGAAAATTGTATGCGTAACTAAGCTACTAAGTCATCTGATTATTGTACTAAAAAAGATGATGCCTTTTTTAGGAGCTTTCTCAATAAAATCTAAACTGTACCGAATAAATGTATTGAATTCTCAAATAACATATCACAATCAAAACTTTGTTTGCTTGCTTGCAAAATAACACCCATACATGAATGGAGAACAATCGTTCCAGATCCAATGTCAACATAACAACAAACTATTAATCGATTGTGAAAAAATTCAAATAGTTCACTGCTTTTTGAAGTATGTATTGATGACAACTTGTCTAGTTAAGCAAAGAAAGCTTCTAGCAGAATACCGTGAATTTATTTTATTTCGGTGGTTTTCGTCAGCTGCTTACAACCTATGATATTTAAAAGCATAATTTATTTTATTTTATTTAAACAAATAAATATTAGTACAAGGAAGCACCATATATATATGCGCCACACAAATCTTACTTGATTTATGTGAGGGCTGTGATACTGCTCAGGTGCCCAAACTGAAGCGAGTGGTTTACTTAGGGGGACACACCCGGAGCTTTTGACCCAATAGTCTGATCCACAAGGCAGTGGAGCATCGTAAGGAGATGCAGTCCCATGGTAACCGGTGACCAACGATTGATTCAGTAGCCATTTGTTCCCTCAGGATTCTGGAGCCCGTGTGCACCATTGGTTTGGAATCAGGGTTTTCCAACTCCCCTAGGTGAACTTTCCGTGTCCACCAACCCAGTTAAAGCATCGAACATTCGTTTTTCGTCCTATCAATTTCGTAAAGAACAGTAATGCCACGAGAAGGCAGTGAGTAGGACTTCCCTGGCAGGGGCTATATAGGCGTGACCATGTGAGAGCATTTGGAGAGGGAGAGCGGACTCTCCCCACTCTCAACTGTACCAGGGCATTCGGGGGCATAATGGGTTTAAATTACTTATATGAAAGGGTTTGGTTGTAAGTTATATTGAAGACACATTAGTATATTGTAACCAGGGTGTAAATAAATTTAATAGACTGAATATTGTAAATATATACTTTATGTGGAAGAACATTTTACAACATTGATTGTAACAACAACTCAAATGGCCAGAAACAAGTGATTACATAATGAGTAAACGTTGATAGGAATAAAATGAGTAGAGCTCAGTTGATAAAATAAGATTACTAATTTGGAAAGTAGTTGAAATAAAACTCAATGATGTAATAAATGCAAGAAAGAGTTAGGATAAAAATTTTTTAAATGCAATGAAGGAATACAGGTTCTAAGCAACTGACGAGAACCAACGAAATAAAATGAATTCATGCTATTCCGCTAGTATCTGTGTTCTTACTCTTTTCAACATGATAAAGGGAACTATGTGTTTGAAAAGAAAGCTTCATCATTCAATCGACCATCTCAAAGAACACAACACTAAAATTATCTCATCTTCAGTTACAAACATTTTACATCAAATCAAAAATTTGTAATCAGATGAACCTAACTCTTGAACTTAACGTTACAAATGTATATTAGCTATCAAATAAGTTAATTTAGATAACGTAAAGTTTATAAATATATATATATATATATACTTCGGTCAGAATATCATACTGTTAAGATATCTTTATATAAAAGTAGTAAATAGTTAAATTGAATCAATCGGAACATAAGTAAATAACAGTATAAATCACACCATAGTGAATCGATATTGGCAAGATAGGTATGGTGTAATTACGAAATGTTTGTGAATACATTAGGTAGTTGTGTACTTATGCAAAAATACTAAGCTTAAACTCAAACCAGATTTATCCCTCGCTTGAAATGGATATGGCTATGAAAGACGATTGCTCGTCATCTGTTTTTATTGGATGTGCCCCAAATGACCCGGTACGGCCGAGAGTGGAGAGAGTCCGCTCTCCCTCTCCAAATGCTCTCACATGGCCACATGCATGCAGCCACTTCCAGAGAAGTCCTACTCACTGCCTTCTCGTGGCATTACTGTTCTTTACGAAATTGATAGGACGAAAAACGAATGTTCGATGCTTTAACTGGGTTGGTGGACACGGAAAGTTCACCTAGGGGAGTTGGAAAACCCTGATTCCAAACCAATGGTGCACACGGGCTCCAGTATCCTGAGGGAACAAATGGCGTACGAATCAATCGTTGGTCACCGGCTACCATGGGACTGCATCTCCTTACGATGCTCCACTGCCTTGTGGATCAGACTATTGGGTCAAAAGCTCCGGGTGTGTCCCCCTAAGAAAACCACTTGCTTCAGTTTGGGCACCTGAGCAGTATCACAGCCCTCACATAAATCAAGTAAGATTTGTGTGGCGCATATATATCTGGTGCTTCCGTGTACCAGTATTTGTGTTTAAATCAATCATTTACTGGATGTATTTTGTTTTTCCAAGCATTGTGGTACATGCGTTGGCCACTCTGACTTGCAATCGGTTAATCCTGATGTGTCGATACACCGACATGAATGAGTGGAACGTGACGCAATCGTCCACATAGTGCTTGAGTTCTTAGTGCAGTATGGACTTAGTTTTCAGTAGTAATCTATTTTAATTATCTAATTTGATCTTTATTTCCCATATACATCCACCTGGATAAGTTAATGTATGATCAGATTGAAATATATTTTACTGATACATATCGCATCACTTTGACAAATTCGCTCTCATTGGATTACTAATTGCAAGTACTACGATGCAAATGTTACTCATTCATCAATTACATGTTAATACGATCAGCCTGAAGTTACATTTTTTAATGTGAAGGCTAGCAATACTGCAACCAAAGATAAATGCTGTAATGAACCATTAAGCCACTATTCAACTACAAAAACTAACTAACTGGTTAAATTTAAGTAGGTGGATTGGTATTAGAGAGTGAAATCCAATAAGTGAAAGGCAAGTAATTAAACAACCTCACCACAAACACCTTATTCGCACCTTCAACACGATATTTTAACATTTACAAAAGTCAAATCACATTCGACCAGTTACATTATATCAACGGGTCATTTAATTTATCTACCCCTTGAATAAAAGACGATCCCAACCTATAAAAAACTGGTCAGTGATTGTCATAAAACAAAGACATTCTGTAACATTTTATCAAAAATATATTGGTTGTCCTCATCCTGTGTCCTCGTTCATTACAGTATTATGTGGAAATTATTATCATTAGCCTATCATTGAACTGGTTTATTGTGAAAACATCATTTAAAATCCTTATGAAATGTTTAGATAAATGTTTTTATTTATTTATTTATTTTGAGCTTGAAACAGATCATCAACTGTTACTAGTTAAAGCAAAACAATCCCTTGAAATGTACAATCCCAATGTGATAGTTGCTAATCTTTTACAAACTAGATCCAAAGAAGTATGGTTAGTATTTAAACAGAATAATACACAAGATATAACTGTTGAACATATAAATACTGAGAATAATACCGATGAAATCAATAAACAACAAATAATATCACAAGAAATTGAATCTATTCTAATTCCTCGATTGATACAACTTCATGAACAAACAATTGATCAAACTATTAAGTAACTTTAACCTTTGTAAGATTATAATCTGTTCAGTTTTATTATTTCTTTGAAATAAAAGCTAATTGTATATTTTCATGGAGTTTCGTTTTGTTAGCGGGACATAGATTGGTTTAAAGTATGTTTCATGCATGATGGTGTTGCTACACGCTGATTGGCTAATTCTTATCCAATCAGCTCTAGCCGTTGCTTGGAGAAGACTCTAGAATCCTCTCATGTAAAATCTATAAATATACTAACGTATTTCTTATTGCGCTTCTTACTACTTCCATCTATCCTTGTTATTTGGAATATAATTTCTTCCCTGTCCAACCGTGTTTTGATTTTGGGGTCTTGTTGAGTGTATTAGTGTCCAAGAATACTAAGCAATAGGAATAGCTGGGTCCTAATAAGGAGTATATAGTAAACAGTTATAACAACAACTTTGCGGATAGAACTAAAAGAAAGAGAAGACAAATGATAAATCTATGTTATATTTTTATTATAAAGCATAGGTACATATGACCAGTTTTATATTGTAAGTAGTATTTAGTGATATACATTGATCGAGAGAGTCAAGAATACAATAACATATATAAGAGATGGTAAATGAATAGGATTAAGACATTCTTATACTTGAACAGTCATGAAAACATTCACGAAAGAAATTTATCCAAGGAGAAGATAATACTGAAAAAGAAAAGAAACAAAACAAACACATGTGAAATGAAGGGGTTTTGTGGAGATTTAGTATTTTCATAGTTGAAAGCGTGGGTCAATTGAAGCTGGACCACCATGGAAAACCTGGAAGCACTGGACAGCCGTTTCGTCTTATTATGGGACTCCTCAGCAGCGCGCGAGACTGGTGGATACTGGGTTCGAATCTCGCGAGTGCGGGATCGTGGATGCGCACAGCTGAGGAGTCCCACAATAAGACGAAACGGCCGTCCAATGCTTCCAGGTTTTCCATGGTGGTCTAGCTTCAATTGACTCGCGCTTTCAACATGTGTAATGCATGAAAATTACTTAATTACCTGTAAATTCGAATCTCTTTATTATTTTACTCAAACAAATATGGATGATAATGTGTCAGTAATACTATTAACGTTTTACACAATACATGCAAGTGTAGGTTAGAGTTAGCTTTGTCCATAGGGCTGGCTGGTGATATTACTGCTTGACTAGGTAGATCGAAGCAGGTATAAAGTAGTTGTTTGAAAATGCGATTTAGTGGTATTCAGTAATCAATTGTTTCAAGCACTGAATCACTGACTACTTATTATGGGTTGATTTATGCAACTATTACTCAGCTATTACTCAATTAGTAAGCAATTCATTAAAAAGTATCATACTTAATCGATTTTAAACACAGAATATATTTCGAAGTATATTACACAACATACATACCATTTTATTACCTCACTGAAATTATGAATCACTTAGCGCTGCTTGTGCTCGTGCGACTGCAGCTTTAAACTCTTCAGCATCTGTATCAAGCTAAACAATAACAACAAAGAAAGAAATAATAACTTTTCAGGTGAAGGACAATAAAGAAGTGATTCCACAAATGAAAATTTGTTGAAAGTATCTTATAATAGTTATTTAAATGATTGAAACCATGAATTGATTTATGTTAGACCACCATTAAAAATCTGGAAGCACTGGATGGCCGTTTCGTCCTAGTATGGAACTCTCCAACAGTGCATATCCACGGTCTCGCGAACAAGATTCGAGACCGAAGGTCCTAGGTTCGAACCCTGCTTGCACTGCTGAGGAGTCCCATACTAGGTTGAAACGGCCGTCCAGCGCTTCAATGGCGATCTAACATCGATCGATTCATGATCTCAATCAAGAACTAAATCTTCACAAATCCATACTGGTTATTTAAATATATTATATTTTTGTCACGCTCACTTTAAATCGAACAGCTAATGTTTCTAGGCTAGCTGAACCTTCACTGTAGTCTTCACCGACCCAACACAGACTATTACCGCCAGCCATATTACCCATCGGTTTCAACACTGGGAGTTCATGACTAATAGGATGATTTAAGCATAATTTTAAAACTTGATCACGACGCATTAAAATACGTGCACGTTTAATGTCAGTTAATTTATATTCTAATGGGACTATATCACGTGGTCCAAAGTGTGCAGCATCTGTAGGCATAGTACGAGGTTGTACAAGAACTTTAACTTCACCGACGCCACGTTCTTTCCAGGCTTTATCAACATAACGGTAGGCACGGCAACGTCGAAGGAAAATACAAAGCTCCTCTTCTTCTCCAGTCTTGACCTGGAATAATAAAAACATATAGAGATGTAAGCAATGAAAACTGATTTTTTGAAATCTGAACAGAGCCACTGTTGTTAAAATGTGGAAGACAATCACATCGACAAACATGGATATACTATTGGAAAGGATGACATACCTCAACAAGTTTTGGCAATGGAACAATCGGTTCATAATGAGGATCATTTTCTGTATCCGATGAGTCTCCGTCTTCATGTTCAGTTACTGCCTTGACAGGTTTAGTAAATAGTTGTGCACCTGCATTACTCCATGTTGGAGCATTAGTTGGTGAACCCCATTTTGGTTGACTGTCTTTAGAGGCAGCATCACTCAACGTTGAAAAACTAATTAAACCCTTGACTTGTGGGATGTACATGGGAGACGATGAAGCTGACAAATAGGTGAAAACATCGTTACAATAAATAAATGTAAAGATATTGTAAGCAGTAAAACAGACTATATTATTCAAGCACACCGTATTGTTAATATTGTATACTTATTTACATTTTTCATGATTTAGTGATGTAACAAGAAAATAGTTGTCATATAAAAGATATCAGTGGTAGCTGTATGAGTAAAGCCCTTGTCTTTTAACTAGTACAGTGCAATTTTGAACCTCAGCTTTGACTTCTTTGATTTGGTCAACCATACCTAATAAAATCACTAGCCACCATACAAGCATTGCAGCTCACTTAAAGCTGAGTAAATAGATATTTAGTAAATAAGTTACAATATTAATAGAGAATATCAGAAAACGAAATTTTATAAGCAAAAAAATGATTTTATTGACTGAATAGTACCCCTACAAATGATTTTAGTTTTGTATCTTATGCAACTACAATTAAGCTAGTGACTAAGTTATTAGAAATAATCATTATTCATTCCAGCATTATTAATATGCCGACCTATATCTGATCAACTTGGAGTTCGATTCAGCCCTATGGGTAATACACAGAAATTCAAGTCAGAATAAATTGACATTCTTCAATTGTATGAGACATGGAACTTTACATGTGTTTTTTTTATTACTCAAACACACAAAGTAGGACCGTTGACAAAATATAAGCTTACTGAATGTGTATTTCAAAAAAAGGAAACCGGTACTTTTGTTGTATTTGTAAAACAAACCGCTTACTTGTAACTACTTTTGTACATTGAACCTCGGTAGTTACGTTTTGCTGTTTGGAAGTTGGTGTGAGTTTAATGGTAGAATCACTATCTGAATATTCTGTAGCAGTAGTACAATTTTTTCTATTACTTTTTACAGCAGCTTCTAATAGTGCATCTTCTTCGGCCTCTTCTCGTGCTGTGAGATACTCTGATTCACCAGTTATGTGACCATTTTCAAAACTGTAAAATTCATCAGGTAATTTAAGTCTACGAGCTCTAGATAATTGATCATCTGATACCTAGAAATAGAAGAATGAAAGATATAATGTAGCTCTGGAGGGAGAGGGAGAAGAAAGTTTTAATCTGCAAGTTGACTTAAATATATCTTAAGAAAATAACATGTGTGAACTATCAACACCTCACATCAGTACACTTTTCCTCAGAAACTATAAATATTTGAAGTAAAATACAAAAAGATGAGATAAACTATTTCAGAACGTTATCTATATTTGTTAAACAGATTTATAGCAAGCATAATAAATACCGAACTAACCTTTAAAGGAAGTTCAACGACAACTACATCAGAGTCCGTATCATCACCATTTTGATCTAGATCTACTGTTTCTTTATTCGACAGCTTTATTTCGCTTGATTGGGAAATTTTGGCACGGTTCTCAGCTGTTTGAACAGCTTCTTCAAAAAGTGATCGAAATTCATCACTATGTTCAGTAAGCTTAAAACGAGCTGCAAATGTCTCACGTCTACCTCCACCAACCAAATCAGACGAGTCGGTTTCGGTTGTTTTGTTAGCTTCATCAGGCTGCTCAGAGTAATCGATAGCCCACCAACTCCAAGCACGACCACCTCCAGTATTCATAGGTTTTAAATGCATACCAGCTCCGATCACATGATTACAGCATACTTTCAAGACATGATCACGACGCATCACACAACGTATTACACCAGTTATTGTAGAACGAAGTAATTTTAAATCACCAACTCCACGTTCATGCCAAGTGCTATTGTCCCAACGATAAAGTTTGGCGCGCTGACAAAATATAACGTCATCATTTTCTTCTCCAGTTACAACTTCAATCTTTTGTGGCATAACTTCAAGCACAGGTTTAAATGTCAACTTCGAATCATCTAGAAGTTCGACTTTATCGTCATCATTATCGTCGTTATGATGACTACTACTTAGAGTAGGAGTTGAAAAATTAACTGTCGATGGATTATTCGTTTCATTCAGTTTAGATAATGCGTTACCAAAAGAAAAAGTGAATCCTGTACTGGGTGCAACTGTTTTTTTCTCGTTAGCTGACGCATTGGATACTAAAGGAGTAGAAAATGTAGGAATCGATGGTGCGCATACAGAAGAGTTTGTAGTGAATGGAGAAGTAAAAAGGAACGACTTTGTTACTGGTGTCTGAGATGATGATATAGGAGGAAAGGCATTTGTAAGTTGCTTAGGAGAGGTGGCAACAAAACTGAATATAGGTTTATGTGCTATTGACGTTGTAACTGTCGCTGTGGCTATTGTAACAGAATCAGTAATATTAGCACTAGTAGTAGTAGTCGTGAACTCTGGACCTTTTGTATTTCCAAATACAAAACCACCAGAATTTTGTAAAATGCCACCAAATAAAGATGTTGAAAGAGTAGCTTTAGAAGTAACAGTTGAATTCTCTCCTGAAGAGCCCGGTTTACCAGTGCAACATGCTGAGCACACAGTAATAGACGAGTCATGATACAGTAAACAAGTTGGACATTCCCATGAATCTAATTTAGGAGCAAACTTTGATAGATCTATATTCGATGACGGTTTGATTGATTGAACAGTGTTTTTCGATTCGTCTACTTTTAATGGCTTAGTATTAACATTTACAGTTGATTGAATACTTTCTGTCATAGGTCCTGATGATTTTACATCAATAGTAGTATCATTTTTTAATGATGGTTTATTACCAGTATCAGATATCAACTTTACGGATGTATTTACAATATTGGTTTCCGTTGTACATTCAGAGAAGATTCTACTGAAATTATTAAGTATTTCAGGTGATTTAAATTGAATCATAAACAATTCATCGATACCCTCTGTAGATTCTGAATAATCTTTAACTGCCCACATAGCCATTTTTTGATCTTTGGTTGAAAGAGTTAACTTAATTGAAGGAGTAATAAAATGATTTGCGCATACTTTTTTCACCTAAAAACAAATGAAGAGGAAAACTAGAAATAAGCAATTAATGCATGGTGTTCAGTAAAACATATTTGGTAAAACAATGAAAATAACTATTTTCAAACTTTATATCTAGACAAACAATATTGATTGTGACATCTCAACTTGCTTAAAAAGTCTAGTAGCAGGGGATTTGGTGTAGAAGTAATGTTACATGAACGATATAAAAAAGCTTTATCTAAACATACAACAATAAGATATTAAGTGAACAAAAACACAATAAATGAAACCTAAATTGATAAGAATACACATACATACCTGATCACGTCTCATAACTAAGCGACATTTACACGTTTTTGGATTTTTTAAAATTTTAGCATCACCAAGGCCACGAGTTTTCCAACTCTCACTTGACTTATCCCAATGGAATAAACGAGCACGTTCACAAAATAGACGTTGTTCATCTTCTTCTTCGCTTCTCAACTCAACAAGATCTGGAAGTGTTTCTATAGCGGGTGTAAAATCCACATCTGGCTCATAAGCTTCAGGAGATTGTTCGGAATCTTTATCCTTTGATTTGGGTGACGAAATAAAAGTACTGAGCTTTGGTTTTTCTTGGACAGATTTAGCTTTGGAAAAAAGTGAAATTATATATATAAAAAATGTAATAGTTGAAGATATGTAGTGGCTAATAATGAACTGATATATCCGGTATTTGAAAGCTTCATAATGGCTTCTTGACCATTTCTTCATCCCTCACAAATTTTTCAACACGTGAACCCCGAACGCTTAACAAAAGGCAAGGATTATGAACAGAAGCTCTATTTTCGGGGTTGATATCTGTATTTCGAGGTTTGTGATGTGACGTCGACATTCTGGAAGTCTGACAAAACGCCTAATTTAGTGACAAAACAGGAAATTATCTGATCAAAATGTTTTTCTAGAAATTTAACACGAGCATAGCACTAACAACGGTAGTGTGACTAACTACTCACAAATTAGCCAATGGGCAAATCACCCATGAAATTGTAAGTTCGTGTTGTTTTAAACTGTTAATTTCACTCATTATGTAACAATCAAAAAACCTATCTTTACAAGTCAGTAGTAACCTAAATCCAAAGAGAATAGCAGGACGGGATTTTGACCATCGCTTAAAATTACTACTAACAAAGCTATTAATAGATTCAATAGATATAAAGACAAAAGGATCATCTTAAATCGAATTTATTATCAAGTTATGTTTCACCGTTAAATCTGTAAGAATATATCTAATCTAAGAACATGACACTTATGAAATGTCGTTAAATTTGTTTTAAAAGAAATAGAAGTTGTTTCACAACAATTATACCTAATGTTAGTTAACCAATGGTTAAGAAAAAGCATTTTTGATTATGTCTATTTCCGAAAAGACTGGATTATACTCCTTCAATAACATCTTCAAACCCTAATCTTTCACATTAATGCTTATACTCTTACTACTTCTACCACTATGGGATTTGAATTGACAACTGCATCTCTGTACTGATGTGGTATGGCAACTCGAACTGATGTACGTACGTACGTACAAAGTTCTACGTTGTAACTGACTGATTGATGGAACAAGATATTTATTTTGACATTTATTAAGAAACAAGTAATTAATACGTCAAAAACACTGCAGGGTCAATTTTAAAAATATTGTATAAAACTTATAAATATCGAATACAATCATAGTACGTTCGCGCACTATACAAATAATCTTCCACAACTTCCGACTTTAACACAATGAACAAGACTACTTCTAGTCGATCTCTTGACGATGACCCCAGTATATAAGTTAAAAAAGAATTTAAGTTAATCGACTGTATATTATCAGTATGGGGATTTGTGGAGATTGTAGTATTTTAACAGTTGAAATCACGAGTTGATCTAAATTAAAAACCTAGAAGCATTGAACGGCCGTTTTGACCTAGTATAGGAACAGTGAGCATCCATGATCCCGAAAGTGAGGCTCGAACCCATGACATTCAGCCTCGTTCACGAACGCCTGACCTCTAGACCAGAGTCAGCATTCAACGGTGTTAATGCCTAACTTCAATCATTGTATTATATATCAGCATTACACATTAGTTATAATGATTAGAATTTATGAATTGATTTTTTTATCACTAAACAGAAATCCTAATCAGACTATACGGGGAGTTCATCAGCACAGTTTATCACATTGAATAATGTAATGTCACGGAAATTCATCTTAATCGATAACGATTTCGTTTTACATAAATTGTATTGCACGTAAACTGTATATCCCTAACAATTCGAGGGTGTTACCCTATAGAAAATAAGCTACACTGTTTCTTTACGGTTATAACCGATCTGTAAAGGAATTCTTTTTGAAAAAAAGAACACTAAACTTTGTGAAAAGTTTTCGAAAATCAATAATCCGAAAATTTTTTTGATTCCAAACATGATAATGTTCATAGGATTTTACTGTGTCAATTTTTTACCTGTATAACGAATGATAGTACAGAAAAACATTCATTATTGGTAATAAAAACCTTAAGAAATAATCGAATAACTGAAAATATACATGCGAAAAATACCCGTATTATTTGACTGTATTAATACTTCTGAATGACTTGATAACTGACGCTGACTACACGGAGGTACAGGAGTTTGAACAGACGTTGTTAAGCGCGCATCGACAGCAGCACAAGCAGCAGCTGCCATACCCTCTGGAAGCCAATGACGAAGCTCACTAATAGCAAGTGAAAGTTCTCGAATCGGAGTTTCAAACACTTTAGCTCCTGTTGTTGCAGTAATATCAATCGAAGGTTTAGTTGAAACAATTCGATTACTTTTTTCAAATTCAATAAATTTATTAACAGCATCTGATAGTTGTTTGCTAGTCTCATTTAATTGTTTGGATAATTGTTCATTAAGCTCTCGACTACGTGTAAGTTCAGCTTTTGTCTCAGCTAACTGACACGACAGACCACTGACTAAAGTCTGCCAAACACTGATCAGATTAGTTAGACAAGAATCCTAAAATATAATAAAATAGAAAAATAAAAACAGAATCAAAATTTACAAACACTGTTATGTAATAGATAGCATACAACCATTTTGAAAGCACATCAAACAATTCAATCAAAAAGTACAAACAAAAGGGGAAAATATCGTGTGTTCTTTTTTAACCATAATATTATTAATTATTTTATAGAAAATTAACAATATTACAACCAGTATATTACATAGAAATGTAAAAGATTTAACTATTCTGTGAACAAAGTAAATTAACAAGATCGTATCACATGGTAAACAAAGAAGATAGAGAGAAGATAGAGAAGGAAAAAGATACAAAGTATTTATTTGAAGAAATTCATCTACCTGACGATAAGCTGTTGTTGTTATTTGATTAGGAGATGGTACACCAGTAGCATTTTGTAGTGATTTGCAAAATTCCGTTAATGAACAAGAAAGAGTTGAGTTAACATTATGTTTAGGATTTTCTGATGTTACATTAGTTGAACAAATAGGAGTGTTAACCAATGGAGGTGATATGGAAATTTGTGAAGGAGTCTTAATTTGATTGATACTATTCATCGTATTCAATTGTAAACTTTCTGTATCTTTGTTGTTAGTTGTAACAGAACATGAATTAGGATGTGGATTGTTCATTTGAACTATAGGTGAAACTGTAGTTGGCATCTCTTTTGTATCCTACAATGCAGTAAAAAAAAGTTCTTAATATTATCTTTTAAATATTGACACTAGATACAATCAAAAATAGAATGTGATAACATTTCTATGTGAGATATATTACATGAAAAGCCTAGAGACGTGTAAAGATAACCAATCTTTTTTTAAATGTTCAACAAAAGTGTGATATCTGGCACTTTTGAGCGTTTCACCGTTCATTTAGTGTATCAGTCCTGTATTTAAAAGTATAATTTTCACTGAAGGCATAATTTTAACCATCTAAAGGTATCTACGTCTTTTCTGTGAACGCACTAGAGTAGTGCAATCCAACTTGCTGGATGAAAGTTCAGTCAGTCAGTCAGCTACAACGTAGGACCAGGCACATTTATGCATCGGTCCAAGTTGCCATACCTCGTTAGCACAACAAGATGAACACAAAATTCAAAGAAGTAGTTAATTTAGTGGTGGTAGTAGTATATAAATTATAGGTTGTATATAAGGATATAGTACAGGAAGGAGGAGAGATATGAAGCAATTTTAGTCTCAAGGTTTAAAGGAAGATAAAGAGTGTATACACCTACGCCATTGTGATCGATTCTGAGCCATGTTACCTAGAGTCTCCAACCATTGGTTACGATAATCACGCGGACCCCAACCAGGTAGTCTGCATCTGTCAACATGGCTCAGACTAGAAGTTAGTGACTTCAAACACTGATGCCATGTTTTGGTTTGGCCGCCCCTAACTCTCTTCCAACAATCCCCTACACTAGTCATCATAGCGCGTCGTGGTAATCGGTGTTCAGGCATACGTAACACATGGCCCAACCATCTCAGTCGTTGAAGATTCATCACCTCATCAACTGATTTACCATCGTTCCCTAATACCCTGCGTCTAACCTCACTATTACTTACCCGGTGATCCCAGCAGATGCGAGCAATATTTCTAAGGCATCTGTGGTCAAATACTAGTAACCTACGAGTATCTTCTACTCTTAATGGCCATGTTTCACAACCGTAAAGTAGAACAGAACGAACTGATGCGCAGTATACTCGTCCTTTAATTGATAGACGGATATCTTGTCTTCGCCATAGGTGACGTAAGTTGGCAAAGCCAAACGAGCTTTTCGAATCCGCGCTGAGATTTCGTCAGACACCAACCCATTAGGGCTGATCAGACTTCCAAGATAAGTGAAGTTGTCATGGATGAAAGTTAGAGTTGCCAATAAAATATCCGGCGAAAATTAAGCACTTAGACGCGAATATTTACTTATTAAATGAACCGGACAATACCGAATATTGCATATATTATACATTGAGAAGGAGATGTGTTACAAATTCACGAGCACGTGTCCTACATCCTAAAGACAGGTTTATATATATATATATATATACCCCCAAATGCCCTGGTACGGCCGAGAGTAGGGAGAGTCCGCTCTCCCTCTCTAAATGCTCTCACATGGCCACGCGAATATATAGCCTCTGCCAGGGAAGTCCTACTTACTGACATTCATGCTTTAATTCTAGCTCAAAACTTTGTATACTGTTATGAAAGAATCAAAATGTGGTATTGTTTCAGATTAGTATGAATGTTGTCCAGCATGATACACACGTGTGAATTCTCGTTCAATGTGACGTTATTTTAAGTTAATATTCTTGTATCGATTAATTAAAAATTTCGTCCAATATGACGTGTGAACTTTTGGAACTATTTTTCGCATTGTTGTCTAATTTTTATTTGATTCATTAGTGGACGACAATGTTGTTAGATTTCTATATTCCTCCTATTGTATGCTTTTAGTGGATCGATTGAATGTCACTATACTTTTTACAATCCCTTAGTTATTGCCAATTAATGATTTCTTACTTGATGGGATATGTGCTCCTTCATTTGAAAGATATTATTTGTATGCTTTTTGAGTCATGGATTAGGATGAGTAAAATAGAGAAATAATCGGCCTCCTGTCTGCGTCTTCTGACCGACTACTGGGTTAGAAGGAGCTCAAGAACCAATAAGCGTTAAGGTCTTGAGCGTTGTTCATTGGTTGATTAGGGCAACGTTCTTCCTGCTCATATAATCGTTAACCGAGATCCTGATTGGGCAATATAACAAGTGATATCGATTAGAATTTCAAGTCACAACACGTTCAATGGTAAATATTCACTGCATTGATTAAGGTAAACTATATTCTGTGTTTTTTTCGCAGTAATTTTTTGTGTTTCTCCCTATATTTAACGATAGTACATGTGTGAGAACCAGTATATAAATGAGTGTATTTTAGTTTTGGGGATGTGATTTTAGGAAGTTAATGAATCTTTACTTTCGTGTCTTCCGTATGTTTACTTTTCTTTGTGGAAATTCCAATAGTTATGATCTTCAAGTAAGATAGTAGATACAATATATACAGAATTATGTACATTTAGAATATATAAGAGCTGTAGAATATAATAAAAATCTGTATGTTGAAATGAATATCGTTCATCGTACATATATATTAACTTACTGAACTACTGAGAACTGACGAAATAGAATTATAAGCATTAGACTCATTTATTGAGTAGGTATTTCGTGAAACCTGCACAGAATTTTGATTCGATTGTAGACTTTCGACTTGTTGATTATGAATAATTCTTGGAGATTCTGTATTTGTAAGACTAGTAAATTCATTTGATTTTGACAATTGAACAAGAATTTTATTCAGACGTGAATAAGCTGCCTCATCACAAATCGACGAATTATGATCACTTAAACGATTAAGTAATTTCACAAGCTTCTTATCATTATTGCTTACTTCACGACTTGTCTGAAAATGATCTTCAATAGTATTTAAGCACCAGAGCCAACCTCGTTTACACCATTCAATACATAAAGAAGAGATGTCGTTTGAATCATTTGAAACACCACACCAACTGTTATAATTTGACGGTATTAAAAACAGGATATGAGAACCAGCATATTCTGTTTTATTGCACTGCATACTTCGATTCACCATAGGACTGATATGAAAATTAAGTGATTAAGATTTTGATTTTGAAAAAAGAAATAGGACTCATATCAGTAACATACAATAGGAAACAATAAAATACGTGTACAAAGCACTGGCTGTACTACATTCGACTGTAAAATAATTATAAGCAAACATTAACAGTGTATTTTGATTGTGATGATGATGATGTTTGATGGAAAAATCAGATATTGCTATAAGATATAAAAATAACCACTGAAATATGGAACTTTAGTAATTATTTGAAGACATTCATATAAGTAACTAGCTGCTATATCCCCTTGAAATGGTCATAACTATCAAATAAAATGATAGCCAAGAAATGAGTATACAAGCGATAGCATATGTAGTCCGTTTTTAGAAATACAAGTCAGGATAACCAATTTAATTTTCTTACACTTACACTGCTGTTGAAACGTTGAAATACTAAATTCAGCAAATGAGAGAGTTTAGGTGGAACTGTAATGAAGAGCTAGTTTACAAACACAACCCAAGGTATGATTATTTGTTAAATTGTGACCATAGACTAATCAGATTAAGGAAAGGGGGAAAGTGGAGCTTATTTTTGGAAATTTAGAATTTTATAATAGTAAAGATTAAACAATAATAAGCAAAGATGGATAGTGGCTAGCAGTGAAATCCAGGACGCGCGTTTCGTCTTATTTGGGACTCGTCAGTTGAATGTACATGCATCTCAGAGTTGATGTTCACTCCATGACTCGAACCCAGTACCTTTCGCTTCAAACGCTATCGGGTTATCCACTCAGCTACTAAGTCCTAATAGCCACTTGCTTGTGTAATGGGGTGAAGTTTAAATTCACTTAGCATTGTTCGTTTGAATCTTCCCATTGATGCCTAGGAATGCAACTGGTTAGTCTCTTATTGACAAATGTGCATACTGTGAGTATTGCCTCGATATTGCCATCTTTACTTATAATGCTTGCGAATTAAGGCTATATCGAGGCAATACGCACAGTACGCACATATGCCAATAAGAGACTGACCAGTTGCAGTCCTAAACATCAATGGAAAGATTCAAACAAACAATACTAAGTGAATTAAACAATAATGTTTTAAAGGATGTCTGATTTTTTTATTGAGGAATGTAAAGATTATTTTGAGAAGTATTAAAAACCGGAATAAATAAATGCCACAATTATCCTGTTAATAATATTTATAGGAAAAAAGCTTACCTAAAACAACGATTTGTGCCAAATTTTGTATAACCCGAACAAAAAGAAGCGTTGTGTGACTGAATAACTGGAGTACTTTGTTCAGCTGAAAAACCTAAGATATGATTCTTCAAAGCAAATAACCAGTATTGTAAAGGCCATGGTTCGAAAGTTTCCAGTCGATTGGATGAACAATTGTCCATTAATTTAGTGAGACCTTGAGCAACTCGAAACAAAAATGATGGACTCATAATACCACCTTCATAATTTAGACAGCGAGTAGAATGGAATATAAGTCGTAGTTGATTTAGACCACACTGAAAAAACGCACGATTTTCGTCCTCCAACTTATTCCTGTAGAAATAAAACACACAATTGCAATTTTACACAAGAATAGTAAGAACAGATAATGTTTAGAAATGTGCACAAATCAAATGTATACCATAAATCCTTGAGATAAGAAACTAAAAGTGAGCCAAGAACCGAACCGGAACGTCAGGTTCTAGTTTCACTGGATCGTGAATAACCCGCTAAACTTGTACCTTTTGATACGCATAAAAAGACTTGATCATGTTTATTCTTGCGTTCAATAATTGTCACATATGAGGTTCTGTGAGTTATCAGTCGGTTATATCGTATCAGAGTGTAATATTTATTGGAAACATTGTTCGTCATGTAAACAACTCAATTTGTTTTATTTACTTATCTAAACATAAACATTAGTACAAAAAACGTACTAAAATATATACGCGCCATACAAAGTAGGTATCACGTAAATTTGTGAGGGGTGGGATATGGCCCGGGTGTCAAAACTGGAGCAGATGGTTTTCTTAGAGGGTCACTCTCCAAACCTTTAACCTAGAGGTCTAATCCACAAGACAGTGGAGCGACGTTAGGGGAATGCAGTCCCCTAGTGGCCGGGAGCAAAGAATAGGTTCATACTCCATCTATTCCCTCAGAAACGTGGAGTCTATGCCTATCGCTGGTTTGTAATTAGGGTTTTCCAATTCCCCTAGGTGAACCCTACGTAACCACTAGCTCCGTTTAAGCACTGAACATTTGCTTTTTATCCTCTCAATTTCGTTAACACCCGCACCATGAATAAGCAGAGTAGGACTTTCCTAGCAGTATCTATAAACGTGTGACCATATGAGAGCGTTTCGAGAGAGACAATTTATTACTCAGGTCATAGAGCGGTATTTCATTGGTCAAGGCCCTCAACCCTCAGTTACTAAGTACTGGGTTCGAATCCCGCCCCAACAACATAACAGTTTGGGCAACCGGATTATATTATTAGCTTCCGCCACATTTTGAAAGTGACTCAAAACTAAGTACACGACTCTGTGCCAGGCAAGTGAATCTAAATTTTAAAAAAGTGAAGCTGAAGCTACTTGGTTTACAACTTTTGATTCTAATTGAACTCTAAAACTTAACACAAAGTTTCGTACCAATTCAGTATGCTTTTAGATACAATTATATTAAATCTAACATAAAGGTATCGGCATTAGGAAATATTTTTTAAGAGTTGTATTGAACAGAACTTAGAACCGAACAGGAAGTGTATCATACTACTGAAATAAAGCCAAACGTACTGCGAACTATATTCTAATATATTCTTGGTAAGTAGTGACCACCATGAACGTTGAGCAGAAGTGGCAAGTTGAACAGTAGGTATTAAACACAAAGGTAGGAAAAGAAAATCAAGTCCGACACCGGAAATGGTTGATTTAAATGCTAACTGTGAACCTAGGGATTGTGCATAACTTGAATTTGTTTTAGAAAGACTCCGTGTAGAAATATAAAGAAAACAGGTGATCAGAAAACAAATTACGTCGATTTGACAAAGTTGATCAACATTTGCGTTTGAATTAGATTTAAGCTCAGTAGGTGATCCAAAAACAGGTGATGGACAAGAAAATTCCAACTTGGGAAATAGTTTATTGACCGCTGTAAAGAATTAGATGAGTTATTTGTATTAAAAAAATTTAGTAAGGAATGTATTGATCATTAATATATTTATATATACCTTTGGTTATAAGCATTTAGTTGACTCACTAACTGCTGTTATGAGTTTTGCTATTCTTAGTTTATTGGCAATTTACTATTCGCATTCTCCCTTAGCCAAAGATACTTTTAGCTTGATTATATATAACTGTTATGTTCTATTCTGTGTTTTGATGTGCCCGGGTATGTCTGTATATAAACTACGTATGCTTGAAATGTAATATACGCATAGCGAAGGTTAATTACTGTGTTTTAGACTCAACTGACAGAGCAGGGAGATAAGCTACCGAATGGAAGACCAATACAAAACTAGCCGTTGACATAACGTTGAAACGAATTCTAATTGATGCTTTTGTGACGTGACAGGACTATTAAGTCATAACTTACTTCATTACGCCTATTACTTCTTGTAGGGAAGCATAGACCGACCGCAAGCATACTCCATAGAGCTCTTTCCTGAGCAATTCTTTTTCAGTTTTTTCTAGTTGCTTTTCATCTTTTTGATATCTGCTTCCGATTCCCAACGCCGTGTGCTCCTTGTTCTTCCTCTTTTCCGTTCCCTTTCAGGATTGCAAGTGAGGACTCGCCTTTTGAGGCAGTTTGATGGTTTCCATAATGTGTGTCCTACCCACCTCCAGCTGCTTCTTGTAATTTCTTCTTCGTCTGGAAGCTAGTTTGTTCTCTTTCTGGTGCTGATGGTAACTGGCCAACGGACATTGAGTATCTTGCGTAAACAATTGTTTCTTCTTCTTCGAGTATATCTTGTAAGGCTTGGAACTTGTTGTTGAGAGTTATCTTGAATTCGTTGGGTTTGTCAGTACCTCGAAGGACGTCTGTGTTGGGCATTTGTAATGCTGTTTGTCCAGTTGTCCAGGGCTTCTTTAGCTTGTTTTATCTTGGTAATCACCAAGTGGTGATTTGAAGCTATGTCAGCCCTTCCCCTAGTTTTCACGTCTTCAATCGACCTTGTGGTTTATTCAGTGATGCAAATATGATTGATCTGGTTCTGTGTAGTGTGAGCCGGTGAGACCCATGTAGTTTTGTGCATGTTTGTGGGGGGATATAGTGCCGCCTATAACCAATTTGTTGAATGCACATAGATTTGCAAATCTCTCCCCATTTTCATTTCTCTCTCCTAGTCCGTGTCCTCCCAAGATATATTCATACTCGTTGTTGTCCATCCCGACTTCGGCGTTTAGATCTTCCATCGGGATGGTGAGATCCCATGATTGATTGCAGCCTCCAGTAGAACTGATCTTTATCGTCGTCGTTGTTATCATTGGTGGGTGCATAACATTTGATAACATTCATTGTAGTCCCCTCCTTCTTTCTTTTAATGATGTTAGATGATTCTAGATCCGTGAGATTTTCATCCTACAAGTGCTTTACGTGCTTCTTTGGACAGCATCAGAGCAACTCCCTGAATGTGCGGAGCATTCTCTTCTTTGTGACCAGAGTACAGCAGTATCTTTCTCTAACCTGTTCTATCTAGCTTGGGTTCAATGGGTTTCACTAGTCATAAGCACAGCTAAGTTGTGTCTCCTCATTTCGGTAGCTATCTGATTGGTCCTCCCGGTCTCCCACATTGTCCAAGCATTCCACGTACCCATATTATTTTTGCTCTGGTTGTTAAGTTATAACTGTGTACTAATTCAAGTTACCACTATTTACAGAAGCATAAAAAGGGGACATTAACAAAAACAGCAACATAAAAATAATAATACTGACAGTGATACATTGGACATTTAAAATACCATTTAATGAATATGGCTGAAATCATATTGATTATTTATATACTATTTAAACAAGTGTGCACTTGGGTAATTATAGTCAATTTTCATAAATCCAAATGATTATCCTTTAAATGTGCTAAAAATCAATAGGCTTGGAATCTGAATAATGACGTGAAATTGAAAATGAATAGATGTTGCTCCATAAGTGGCATGGATATATTCAAAGGATTATAAGAACAAGTGATTAGTAAATGATTACTGATACAAAAAAGATGCATTATTACTTAGTGGTAAAAAAATTAAATAATTAGATTTATTTACCAAGTATGGATAATCATGTAATCATCTATGAACTACACTTTTTTCAAATCTAACAGCTGTTGAAACTACTCAGTTGCCCAAAATGATATGGTGAGGTAGGGTAAAGACCTACGATTTAATGGTTGAATGCTGGATACTTCAACCACAGATCGAACGTTCAAACCTAAGTATCTACGCTGTCGAATGGCGCGGTAATGGTTACAGCATCCGACCTTTAACCATAAAGTTGAACTTCAAAACCGCACTCTACCTGCTTCGGTTTGAACAATCATGGAGTAGCATAAGCACTTACAAAAAGTGTACCTCAAAGTTGAGTTTATAAAACTGTTATTTCCAAACAAGTTAAAAGAGTGAACACTACGTAACATCTCACGCCACATTCCCGAAATAGTGGATTAGTAAGTGATTTAGACACCAAAATCAACAGTCGAACGCCTTAGGTGACGTGGGCTAAAATATCGTAAAGCAGCTGCAATTAAACTGTAAATCCCTATGAAAACAAGATACTTTACTGCACACACGTATCTTTTCTGGACAGTTTTTGCGTTTACAGAATAACTTGTGACCGCATATAACGTCCGGTTCTACGCTGTCTACGTTGACTATTCAGATTACCATCGAAAACATTTCTGTAGGCGGTTGAGTAACAGATTTAAATTCCACAGCTTCTAGAGGTACAGAAAACTGAAAGAATATTACAGTTCACTTCGCGTCTAAAATGATCGATCACATTTCATAACACTGATGGAAAACTTTTGGTTAGCTTTCAAGTATTCAGTAGTTTTATTAGTAGTAAACACTAAAATAACATATTTGAATAGTTCAATTAAAACTTATGAGCTAATAGAAAATGAACTTACATTTAAGCAGAAATTCCAATCTAGGCAAGCTGAGAGTAAAATCCTCGTCACTTACATTCAAGAAAGATAGCTGTTGAGCACAAATCCACATTATAAGATTTAAACAATCAGGAGATGTTAAGTATTCTGAAGACAGGAAAAATTCTGGATAAAAATTCAACAAATCACTTCAATAAAAACGATTTCTAAAAAACTAATCAAGGTTACACGAAAAACATATACACAATAACAGACAATGATTGTATTGAAAATTAGAGCAATCCATAGTGGAATGGATAAACAAAATAATAATGAATTGGAAAGGCCTGTTCCGAGTTGTACAACATCCGATCATATTGTATGGTATACAACACCTTAGACAAACACCTTGAAGGGGGGTCATATATGCATATCACTGGTGTCACTTAGATGACAAATTTGGCGGCTGAATATACACTCTTAAACTTTTGGATTAAACAGTTATCGACGAAGAGATAAATTAACATCAAAAATTGAATTTATCACTATTATAATCATGATTATTATACGAGCCTTGTTCCATCGCATATGCTACCCAGGCACGAAATTCTAATAAATAGCTTTTGTGCTGTACGAACTAAAAAGCAATCAACATAAAAAGTTCCCGTCATCAGTATATTGAAATTGCTTCTTACTTATCAATACTACAACTGGAAGAACGAGGTTGTTACATTATTAATTACAAAGAAGGCACAATCTAACTGACATATAAGCATCTTAGGAAAAGCTAGGGGAGACCGAACCAAGGCTTGTTATTAATGTATATCAACTGCTACGTTCTACGTTGCATGTGATTGACATTGACTACTACTTTGAGCCATGTTGATAAATGTAGACTACCTGGCTAGAGTCTGCGCAACTACTGTGACCAATGGTTGGAAACGATGAGTGATATGTGTAGATGTATTCATTTTGCTTACACTACAACCCTGAGTTTCAAAATCATTTCTCGAATCGTTTTCTGAATAATCTTTTTTATCACTGATACTGCTGATGCTTCTTTGAGATTTGTCTCCTTAACTTCATCTCTCTGAACTGATTTAGTGTGGCCGATACATATTTGTGCTAGGTTGTTACGTTGCCAATGGCATTAACATTGGAAAGAGTATTGACGAAATAAACTAAACTGAAGGTTAAATGAACTGCATATTTTTTCCGGATCATGAGAGCGGAAAACAAAATTAGGTCAGATAAGACAATAATTAGTTGAATGCGGTCATCTGTTAAAATGTTAAACCTGTGAAGCTTACCGTCAAGGGAACCATGCATTTCAAAGGTTTTAGATGTTTTCTGGCCAACTGTATCAAAACTATATGCATCCAATGTAAAGTTTTCAGACATAACCCCATCAGTTAAACTAATTAGCTCCTTCCACGTTAAAGAATCCAAGCTGGTCGCGTTCTCCTTAGTGGGTTTCGTTTTATCAAGTGAGGCTGAAAATAAGTGAACCAGGTAAGTAGCCTGAGTACAAATTGAGGAACACTCTCGGCGAAGATGATGTCGAAGTGAGGCAGAAATAATGGAAGATCCAGGGGTAACATCGGGATGTCGAGCATTACTTACACGTTGATAAAAGTGAAATGCGAGGAAGTGTGGAAAATCTGAAGACTAAGCAGTGAAATAATAATAATAATAAGTAAAAAATTAAGGTTTGAAAGATATTATTCATCACTAAGCATAATATCCTTAACATTACAATTACTGATTCATGCAACAGTGGGCCTACACTTTATATCAACTCAGTGAAACAATTTCGTTTATCACAATTTTAATTGACATTATTATGAAGCGTTCTGTGTAAGGCACTTGCTAGTAAAACCGCCTGAAACTCCCTTGAGTAGACATAACTTTTACCTCTTTAGTAGAAAGCACGCATTATGAGCTGTCGTAACGTCAGGTATTTGCAAATTCTTCTAACCCTAACAATGAAACATGAAAGCTATTGGTGTAGGTAGTAACTAAGCTGATAAATACTTTTTGATCAGATTCACAAGAGAAGCCAAACACTTTAACCCTGTTTCGCAGTTCTACTGTACGCCAAAGGCTAAAGTCGTGTTGGCTGTGTATTATGATAATTCCTCGTCTTATAATTCTCTCATCTGCAACTATCTAGAGATTCCCGCAAAAACAATTGGGACTTTGACTAAGTTGTTCATGTCTAGGGAAACTTTTCCTTGAATCGAATAATGAATTAGGAAAGTAAACTATCCAAACATGCAGTACCAGCATCTGTTTATAATAAATAGAAATGAACCCTGGAGGCATTGTGTTATCTGAACCGAATGGCTTGTAACTCCCTACTACTAAGGACTGAAAAAGACTACTATAAAATACTTGATATTTGCTAAAATGAAGACGCGGTTTTAGTGAACTACTCAGTAGGTTGCGTAATAAAACTAACCTCAGTACATTTATTCATGAAACGCCGTTGAGCATAAACACCACCATAGAAATTAAGCCAAATGACAGCAAACTCATTAAGGGTGTTTGGACCTTTAGACTGTAATTTACTAAGTTCACTAGAAACCACTTCCAGCTGTACAAGTAACTGATGCATATCAGACAAACAGGAGGTTTGTGATGTCACACGAATCAACTCCATCAAACAAACTGCACGAACCAAATACAGCGACTCCCGAGGTAGATCTGCTTTAGGGATGGCAACTTTTGCAGGCTGAACGTGACTTATAACTAAGAAGGGCACTTACTTCTAGAAGACTCAGGCAGTTATGAAACCAGCTAGCAATACCGAAATGCCGTCCAGCATTGATGCAATTCAAGCAGCGTGAAAATCCATCTGCAATGGATCCTGACTTGTAAAGCAAGTTTACAAGTCGAATACAGACTTCGGAATCACTCTCATCTTTTAGCTGAAAGGAAATGGTAGAATTACGAATATAGCATACCAACTGAGATTCCAAAAGTCTTAACAATTCTGGGACCTTGTTGCCACGAGTCAAGACTTTTTCCTAGAGACATAAGGTTGTTGTAATGACAAATACTTTTAACAGAAATGTTATTTTCTCGGTAGGAAACATGTCTTGTGCTACACCGGACCAGAACTAAACAATGATAAAACACAAAGAAAGTACCTCAACTTCCGAAATATCTTGTGATTCCTGGGCCAGGAAACAAGCTTAAAACTAATGAGCAGAACTGAGGCACATACCATGCAGTGTAGTGCTTTTATCGAGATTGGTCAGTCTCCGAAGGGACTTATAGGTCCCTAAGGCTCCTGATAAGTCGTCCATATCCTCCTGTATTTTCGCCAACAGAGTGTATGCAGGTACGGAATCAGGCCTAAACTCCAAGTAGCCTTCAACGTAACTACAGAAATAGGTTACAACAAATTCACTGACCTCTTAGCTGTTGCGAATTCACTGACGCCATGGTAAAGTTTTGCTATCTCAAGAGCTTTCGATTTTCTCTAAACATACATAAAAGTCGAAAATCATAATCACCTCGTTTAGATTGCAACATTTAGCAAGAAGATGATAAACATGTTTATCAACTTGCTCCTTATTGCCCAACATGCCCAGATTTTTTGAATACGAAGTGTCCTTTACTATGCAAACAAACAAACACAGTGGAGAGAGGGAAAAGTTAGTTAGGAAGATCATATTTAACCCTACTGAATGGAACTCCGCCCTGTAAAATATAGACGACATGATGGCGATCTTTTCAAGAAGTATAACATCCCAAATATCCCTGATGAAATACTTAGTTAGGTTGGGTTTCGCGACGAACATTAGGGAAATAGATAGAAACTAAAGGTACAACATGGCATCACTTACAAAATGAGTTCGTGAAATAATCTTAAGTTTGTCTACATCCCAACCATGCACAACTATATGAAGAGAAATAATCAACCCATTATCCTTATCGAACATTCGAAGGATCCGAAAACTTTCCAGCAAGAGACAGTAGCTTGTAAGCCATCCTCTCAATTTTATGACATTTCCAAATTCCAGTTGGTTACAATATTGTGGATGGGGCAGTCTTAAAACAAGGATTGATGCAGGCCCTCCCATGTTTAGATCTACAAGATACCTAAAGCTGTTTACCTCATTTAGCACGCACTTCAGATAGGATTATGAAGTTTTCTCAAACGAGTATCGTACGATATACCACACAAAGTTCTGGACCATGGACAGATTCAACCACAGTACAGACCAACTCGATTGGTAAAGGCCTCACAGAAACTGCTGACCTGTCAGACAATAGAAAACGGAGCAGTTCATTATAACAAGACATCAGATCATTTCATGGCAGTTCGAACAGTTATGCTGGTATTACTGGAAGTTTAGTGCCAAACCAGCAAGTTTTAGTCAATCTGCCCACACGTTGAGACAACTGGATGGTGTACCTAAACAATCCCTTGGTGTGTGTTAGAGGGTGGAACTCGGGCATGATCTTTCTGGAGGAAACAGGTGTGGCGCTTTATGTCACAACTCAGAATGGAGCATAATGAAGCATCCATAAATACCCTTCAATACTCCAGTAGAATAAAATTCGCGACATTTGGACAAAAGATGTTGACTCGGGTTTTGGAGTTTAAGTGACAACAACCTACAAGGAATGATGACAATTACTTTGATTTAGTCAAAACATACCGCGATATTGCAGTATTTTAGGACGATATTCCCGATACAAATACTACTATGTCATCCATATCGTTCTAATTTATACGGATGCCACTAGGTTTGAAAAATGTTACACAAGCATTTCTATGGTACATGAACAGTTTCTTACAAATCATGCCTTTCAGGCAAATATGCATTGGAGATTTATCAATTATTGGTACCTAGTTAGAATGACGTGAAGAGCATTTGAGACTGTGGTTCAGCAAACGTATACCTGAGCCACCATGGGTATTACTCAGACATACGATAGACCTAGATGGGATCAAACTAATTAGAAAAGATACGTATGCGATAAAACTATCTTTCGCTAAATTCTTAAAAAGAACTTAGCATTTTTCAGGGCTTAAGTAATTTTTTTCCGTCGATGAATGCCAAGCTATAAAAAACACATGCAACCCTTAGCGTGTACCCTTGGAGGAAAACCAAGTGATTTGATGTTAATTCCCATTAAAGATTACACGTTAAGAACTTAAGTCCATATATCTTAAGTATTTTAAGGGAGTTGGTATACTGTCAATACTGTTTTCGTTCTACCACACCAAGGCTCTATTATTTAACGTCTAAGGCCTGATTTTAGGGAGAACATGGTGGGTGACATTTCGACAAGTCGACTTGAAAGATAGATCGAGTGGAGGTTTGAAACTGTCAAGTTTCATGTCACCTTGCTGATATAGTCTCCAGCTCTCAATTTGTAGATAGTGAATACCACATCGAAATAGAAGAAGCATTCCAGGTTTTGCATCCAGCTCCGAATAGTCTACTATGAGGTGTGGTTTTACTACTCCCCTACATCGCTGAAGCTGTCTGCACCGATGTGATGTTTATGAGTATTTGAATTATAGTGTAAACTAGTAATCCCACAAACAACGCAATTAAATCAAGAAGCATTAGATGAACACGAACGAATGTATTGTATTTGGAAGTCAAAATCAAGCAGTCATCAATACAAAGGAATCATTGGTTCATTCAAACACCACATCCGCCACTGCTTAAATGAGTATCCAAGTTTCTGCGATTAACCGTACCTCTTCTCTTTAGGTTCATCATGTGTCATCCCGATTGTGTAATAGATGAAGACTCTGTACGATCTAGAATACACTGATTAGTATTGTAATCAATAGCCGAAATCGGAATTGACTCACCTGATTCCTGGAGTTGTATACAATCATCATATCGGTTGTGTAGTGAAACCACTGATATCTAGAATTTGCATCATAGACTTTCCAACACTATTTCCCCCCACGAAGTAATGTTGGTTCCTTACGTCGCAATGTTATAACCAATTCGACATTCTTAATTTGTTTTATCTTCTTATATGTCGTGCTTCGATTATTACATGTGAGTATCTGGGGATAAACACTGATATGTAATTTGAGGCATTCCATTATGTGCATTTGACTTGCAATACACAGATAAATACGCGTTGATATGTGTAATTAGCACATGTGACTCATCTAAGCTTGATTTACCTGCGAAACAATCAAATGGGAAACATACATCTGCCTCATATTCATTAGGATAACCTTGGACATAATTTGGATTATCTACTTGTGCAAACTTCATATCTGGGAAACTAGTTCTCTGATTGCTTCGAGAAAACTTGCTATTCCCCCGATTCATAATGCCACTGACTAGGGATTCTACTCGACATACATCGGTTTTGGAGAATATCCAACATCTGATACAATAACATCAGAATTGTGACTAGAATTCGACTCATTCGGAACATATTTTTCACTTTCATTGGGAATATCATTAGAGATAAATTTATTGTTAGGACCACTGACACTTGATATGATATCAGAATTCGATTTCTCTGAAATATTTTCCTCAAATTGATTAAGAGTTTCATTAGAGAATAATGGATCATTAGGGAATTCAGCATCTATCAAAACTGAATTATGATAATCAGAAGTATTGAAATTGTAGTATAAACTAGTAATCCCAGGAATAACGCAATTTAATCAAGAAGTAATAGATGAGCCCGAACGAATTTATTGTATTCGGAATTCAAAATTACAAGAGTCATCAATACCAAGAAGTCATTGATTTATTTAAACATCACATGAATCCGGTTTTTGATCATGATTTGACTCATTCAACATATTATTCTCAGAGTTGTAAGAAATGTCATCAGAAATATGTGAATCATTATGACAAACCATATCTGGTACAATAACACGAGAAATCTGATAAGAAGTTGGTTGATTAGAAACTTTTGTCTGACAATGATTCTGGGCTTCATTCAACATTGGACTGCTATGTAACATCATCCCGCTTCTCGAAATTTTGGATAAAGATAGGTGATCATTAGAAACATAGAACTTAGTAGGATCACAACCACAAATTTTAGCATTGGTTTCAAAGAAATAAACCATGGTATTACAAACTGACTGAATGTGTCCAGATTGACAACATTAAAAGCATTCACAATTACAAAATACACATGAATTACATGGATGAAACTTGACACAGAACAAGCGTTCACCAAACTTGTGCTCATCTTCGTGAACTGTTTCACAAATTAATTAACTGTTATCTGAATAACCTTAATTACGTATTGAACTGCGACGACGTATTAAAGTAGTGGGATTCTCGATGTCCTGTCGAATCATTCCATTGAATTTTTCTCCTTCACCGCATTCGAAATTTGTATACAATACATAGTCCAATGGTAGTTGCTTGACAGTTGCATAAGGGAGTGAAATCGGTTTGTCTGGAAATGCCAAAGTCTGTAGTAAGCTGCATGCTTCTTTTCCGATGAACGAAAGCAAATTAGAGATAATATTAAAATCCTCAACATCCTCTTTCGTCACATCGCAGATTTCGAACATCACCGCGTACTCCTCAAAAGCATTAACATTTGAATGTCAGTCTAACCGTTCTATCACAGGCTTCATCGCGAGGCCAATGTGATGTTGAATAGTATTTGAATTACGGTAAAAACTAGTAATCTCAGAAACAACGTTATTTAATCGAGAAGCATTAGATGAACACGAACGAATGTATTGTATTTGGAATTCAAAATCAAGCAGTCATCAAGTAGAAATCAATCATTGGTTTATATAAACACCACAGCAGCTTAGACTCTGTTTTTCCACCAGGCTAAATAGCTGAAAGAATTATTCAGTAAGAGGTAATGCGACTAAAACTAAACAATAAACGAAGTAACCAACCTTCAATGAATGTGTATGGGTTGCCTTCTCATCAAAAAGAACACTTTCAACAATCCATGAGGGTTATAGTATAGTTAGACCAAGCATGAGCAATTGAAAGATAAAGATTCAACATGTCAGTCGACCAATAAAGCATGTGGTGGAAACAAGAATAACACAGTCTACAGCAAGTCGCATATACGGTGATAAAAGAAAACACTAATTTTAAGTAGACTTATTATTTACGATTTTATCTTGATCCTGACTGGGAAGATGAAATATGAGGAATAAGGTATCCAAAAATAATTTTGTATTTAGGGATAAGCGCTATTGTTTCATAAAACACATACATGAATATCGATCGCCAGAAATGGTTGCATTTAAGAAGAAACAAGAGAACAATCAAATAGAAAAACATTCACTGATCGGTTTCCCCGCATACTCATACAAAAAAATAAATTATGTATTTTACAATGTTATCAGGCTGACGATAATCACTTAAACCGCTATAAAGTATCTATTGTAGATGGCGTCGAGTGGAGTTTGACTATAATCACCTCTACAATCGGATTACGCGTCCAGAAACGACTTGGTCCCTCTGATAACTAGCAAAGCAGAAGACTGTGACTGATCCAGTAGAGTATATTTATTGGCGATCTCGTGGTATCGAAAGAATACCCAGACGTGCCAACGATTACAGGCAACAAGGGCAGAGAGTAAGAGAGTTCAAACCAACAAGATGGAGAGCGGAAAGATAAGTGAGTTTGATACAGTTAAACAAGTACAGTAAAACAATCGCTGGTACAATTGGTTATAATAATAATAATTGTTTCTATTATACCAATCACGTTCTTGTCGAAAAAAGCAGGTCACTACACTATAATTAAGTATCCGGAACATAATTTCTATTTTTTTTAATGATGAAGTCCCGGTAAACCTAAACTAGTGGTATCTTTAACCAATTACCTAAAAACTCATAGGAATCGGTTGCATTCGCAAAATGACTCATTCTTGAGGAAGGCCCACAATTTATTCGTTTATTTATCAATCTAACTCTATATGATCGTATTATATTGATGTTAATGAAATATATATTTTATTCACTTCGAATATATTCTCTCAACTAATTCCGTTGACAACAACGCAGATATAAAAATTCGAATACGATATTACTTGAGAATCAGATGTTTCAGACTTTCAATAATGTAGGTGAATGACAAGCGATGCGAAGAAATGCACATGAACTGTAGTAGTAGAAATAGTCAACTCAGTGACTTATAAGTGACTAAGTTTTATATGTATAAATGGGATACAAGTAAGTGTACAGGCACACATATATTTGCATGCTCAAATGTATTAAATGTGATCAATGTTACACATGAGTAATTGAGAATGGCAAAACTATGGGCAGTAGGACAGATAGGAAGATTAGAATAATTTATATGTCCTAAGGTTGGAATAAGTCTCATAGAGATATGATGACAGAGACTTGCGATAGACGCTCACCTCTTTTTCCCTAAGAATATGAGAAAATAATTATTTAATACATTTAATAGCTTTTCATATTCTGGAGCAAAAGTTCGATAACAAGAAGTAATAGAACTCTGCATGCTAACTAGTATTACCCAGAACTCTTCACTAAATACGTATAGACCAGTACTCAAATCAGAGAGAACTCAGTGAGCACAGTTGAAGTTGATGTATTTGGAATTCAAATCAGCCGCAGAATAATGCACAAAGGAATCATTGTTGTACACGAACATCACATTCGCCAAAGCTTGGACAAATATTCAGCTTTTTGTAATTACGTTTATGTCTTTTGGATCCTGAAATAATCACACTAAAATGCTCCCCATACCATAAACACACACGTTTACTAACCTTGAAAGATTGAAGAAAATACTTTCGACCATCATAATTAATAATAATAATGGCTTTATTTAGTATTGTATGGTAAGTATAGTATGGAATTCTCAACATACAATACAACATTTTAACAAATGCATTTAACTGCTCTTATACAATACAAAAAATGTGTCCGCATGCATATAAAACACTATATGAGTAAATGAAATTGTGTAGAATTAGATGAAATATTTGTGAGAACATAAAATCTATATAAGTGTGAAATAGCAGCATCACCTTTTACAACCCGTTTGTCATACATCAGATACTTTAGATATATTATGTTGTCGAGCCTTTATACTTTTGCTTATATCCATGGGTTATCTTGCCAATCCCGTTGTTTTTCTTAGTATATATCACCTCATAATGTTTTCTTTCCAGGTGTTGTTTATTAAAATCTTGATGCTTTGATCTTTAATCAGAGTGGTTAGTTGTTTCCCTTGGATAAATTGAAGCCTCTCGTAGAACTGGTCCTTATCATTTTTACTACCATCATTAATGGCTTCGTGATACTAGATGACATTCACTGTAATACTTTCCTTCCTTATTGATAAGGATGTTTTGATAAACTTAGAGTTTCCCATCCTATAAACTAGCTAATTCTCGTGAAACCCAAGAAGAAATAGCACGAATCAATATCAGATTACGTTCAAAAAAAATAAAATATTGAATTCACTTAATATTGTTTGTTTGAATATTCCCATTGATGTTTAGGACTGCAACTGGTCAGTCTCTTATTGGCCATATGTGCATACTGTAGGTATTGCCTCGATATTGCCTTCATTCACAAACATTGTAAGCAAAGATAGATAGTGGCTAGCAGTGGAATTCAGTTTGATGCGCGTTTCGTCCTATTTGGAACTAGTCAGATGGATGTACCTTCATCTCAGAGTTGACATTCACTCACTCAATACCTTTCTCTTCAAACGCCATTGTGTTATCCACTCAATATCAAGTCAATACGAAGTTATGAAGATTGCTAAACGTTTTTTTTGTTGTTGTTTGAAAACAGGAACCGGTTTCAAGTGTGTCAGCATGGTTTACAACATTATGTATATCTACCGATTAGTAGCACATAATTTAATCCAATCAATATTTATTAATATATTTTGTTTTAATGAACTGTTACTATAATGATCAGTACTTATAACGAATCATTGTGTAAACTAGCCTTAAACACACTTGACTTATACAAATAATATATATAATATGTAACATTTAAATACATTACTACTGATTGTTTAAATGTGACCATAATATATAACCCTATAAACAATAATAGATTATTGACAGACAATATAAAAATGGTAATGTATCAGTATTAGTAAGAAAGGTGATTGTATTCGATTGGTTAATGTTTATGATTGAATTAAGCATGTATCTAAGGTATTCACTTCAGTATTTATACTATAGTTGATAGGGGATAATTTAATATTCTATCTAATTTCTTAAGGATTCCTGATTCATTTAATTATTTGTTTTTTGTTGTTTTTTCTTCCTAATTGGTAAGTCAGATACACTTTTGATTTCGGTTTATTTAATTCTACTACCAATAATAATAATCAACTTATAAGTGGTATTTTTATTCATTCATGAATTCACATTGCCTAGAAATCACTTTTCTAGGTAACAACTTTTCAATGGAGTTCAGTTATCGTCTTTATTTTTATTGTTATTATTATTATTGAGACCATGAACTGATCAATGTTAGACCATCCATCATTAGAACCTAGAAGCATTGGATGGCCATTTTATCCTGGTATGAGACTCCTCAATGGTGCTCACCCACAATCACACACACAAGACTCGAATCCAGAACCCTAAGTTTCGTGTACAAACATTTAACCTCTAGATCACTGAACTGGCATCCAACGGTGTTAACGTCTAAATTCAATTAATCCATGACCTTGCACATCTATTACCTACGGTAAGTAACTGTCTCGCATCTGACACGGGTGAACTCCATTAGGCAAGGTTTCTCACTTGAATTCCAAGAATTACCTCTCGAAGCTAGTCACTGGTGAGCACATGATGATTTTCAGCATGTGGTTGTACGGATTGTTGAATTTTATTGAGACAGAAGGTTTTGAGTTCGATTCCCTGTGTTGAGGTCGTGGACGAACACTTCTGAGGAGCCCCATAGGAGAATAAAGCGGTCCTCTAGTGCTTCTAGGTTCCAATGGTGGTCTAACATTGAGGGGTAAATACCTCTCAGCCGACATGGATGAACTGTACTAGTCACGGTTTCTCACTAGAACTCCGAGAACTACCTTTCGAAGCTAGTCACTAGTGAGCACATGATAATTATCAATATAGTATACTGATAACTATTACTATTGTGATTACTATTATGCCAATATACCCTTATGGATGAAAGTAACTTTCCATCGGTTTTCAGGAGAACCAGAAATTATCTAGGCCTTAATACCACCAGATAAACAGTACAACTTATTTCTGCGGCTTAACGACACAGATCTCCAGAATTGTGATGGACTGTTCGCACTGTATATATGCATATATATTTAGACATAATTTATTATTTCCGGTCAATGATTGCGTCAATTAATTATGCATAGTATGAACAGGCCAATTTTAACCTATTAGGCCAATGTGACTGTCGAACCCATTATTACTAGCGATCGCAATATGCATTACAACGTCCTAGTGACAATGGCTCCTGAGAACACTGAGTATTAACTACTAATGTTAATGAACTCGATTACCCAGCAAACATACTTAACATATGAATAGTCAGTAAAACTTAGCAAAGTAATGCCAAACTATCTACAATATTTATAGTGAATCTCCAATCTAATAGAAAACCTTCACCTCTGGATAGCAATCATAAATATTTACATATTCTTATATAAACTTATGATCAATGAAACTAACTATGTTAACTAGTCGATGTAAATAAACAATATGGAGAATGTAGCTACTTATATTAAGACATTGAATGACAATCGAAAAATCCAACTCCATAATAAAGAGTCTATAGGTAATTTTTGAGATCTTTTATCAAAACAAAAATAAGAATTCCTATCTAAACGCCAATCACTGACAGTCCCTCTTCGGACAACCGTTAAGCATTAATTAATACTGATAAAATGTCTCATTGCTAGTGTTCATATCGATTATAAGAAATCAAAAAGAAATTATGTCTTGGTAAAATCTGAGAACCAAACAACAATAACTCATTAGCAAAATATCCACCAATTGTCTCAAACATTGTTGTCTCTTTGTTTCCATACCAATCACTCTCTGTTCTCGTTCTCTTCACTTCGATTTTCTCAACCTTCTGCAGTCAGATATTCCACTTTCTATTGATGATACATACTATTTATATCTGTTGACGTCAACAGCGCACACCGCAGCAATAGTACTAGTGGTAATATTAGTTATGCTAGTAGTAGTATGGTGTGGTGGATATTACTTATGCTGACAGATACAAGTAGTATGTAGCCTAAACCGGGAGTGGAATGGCTGGCAGCAGAAAATTGAATTGAAGAGAACAGAAACAAAACCGGAGAGCAATCAAAATAACAACAGAATTGAACGAATAATGGAGCACTTAAAAGACAAAAAAGAGATAAAATGAGTAAATAATGTGTATTTAATGTGTGATTTTCATATGTTACTAAGCCACTGTATAATCCTTCATCTGTGTTCCCGTTCACTACTGTTTTAATAACAGTAGTATGAATAGTAGTAATGATAATGATTATCATTAAGATGATAATAGATAAGCTTAATAGTCAACTGACATCTGCAGTACTTCATTGAGTTTCATGCATTGACTTATTGATATTATTCGAATACACTGTCTGAAGTAAGTAAACAATATATGGGACAAACTGTCAAATTCTTACTTGTTTTCGTGAGAAATTATGACCTTTAAGGGACGTAGTAATATATAAAAACAAGTGAACAGTTTATATATATACATATAATTCCATTATTTTATTCCATAGAACTAAATGGTTATATTTGAAAATTCTAAACAAAATGAAGCTCCTTCCGGTGTTATGGCAAATGATCACAAGAATACCAACACACATATTGAACCATGTGGTAAGTTGATAACAAGGTAAAGGTATAATATACCGATGACCTTGAGGGACTTATCAGCTAATCAATAAACGTTGCCTAGTTGTAAAACAATTAACAATGCAAAGTAATGAATTAACGGTGGAACAAAAGCTTTGATCATAATAATTAATCCTCAAATGTCAAATTATCTCTTCTAGTAAAGAAAAAAGGGGTAAGTTTACATGTGTACACGCATATCGGGAGTTGAGCTAGTGTTATGAGTTAGAGTTATTACCCCTTAGAGTTTTTGCCAGCAACTGACATCATTTATAATGTAAACAGATTAGGTTCAAGCATTGAGAGGTTAACCAGAGTTTTGAGTCAGGTTTAAAAATTAGGGTCAGAGTTTTCCTCACGAGCTAATATCGTCTATAATGCAGTCCTCTGTCACCTTTCTGTTTAGAAACTCAAGAGACTTAGGTTTAAGATTTAGAGTTAGAGTAAGAAAAGTAGAACACAATCTAGCTTCACTCATAACTTAATTACGCAATGAACGACATCAACTACTTTAACATACAATCTGACTTCAGAGGGAGTATATTATATAATTTAGTTTAGGCACCATCTAAAATTCACTTTTTGGGTTCATAATAGTTATTTTCATTGATTTCAATCATTTCATAAACAAATAATGACAATTTTCACGGGGTTAATAATAACATACACGTTAACTATAATTGCACGTGAAACTTTGCGCAAAATACAGAAAGTGTTATCTCAGTTATGATTGGTCAACTCAAAGCCGTCAGTATACCATATCTTTATCGATAAAAATCAGAGTACTAATTGATATGTTTTGTAACCACTGTCCAAAATCATATGACAAATTTTTTTTGATGAAGTTTTGTTCTCTGAGCTGGATGGTTTGGTTGTGGAGCTTTCATCGTCCTTCTAAACGACATCATCAGCACAAACTTCATATGACAAATCTCTATTTGGAATCCTGATATTAATTTGATCTATTTTGTTTACGTCATTTACTACTACGATTTAGTGTCTCTGACTTGGTCAAGTACACGTCCGACTAGTACTATTAACCCTGAGTCGACAGCTAAGTTACTAGTGGTCCAAAACTCTTTAGCTTCTCATTGCTCTGCTTCTGATTCGAGTAGTCAGCAACTAGTCTCTACTATATATTATATTTCAAAAAGACATAGTTTATTTACAGACAGACCATACTACTTCACACTATTAAATAAAAAATAACAATTATTCACAAACCGGCCTAAAATTGGGTGTGACTAAGGGAGACTGTAAACAGTAGACTTGAAACAAATTAAGAATGGCAAATCGTATAACAGTAGCTAAGGGGTCAAGCTAAAGCTTATCACAAAGGAGATATATGTACAGTAGTCTATTTTCTTAGTAATTATACATTAAGAATGTAATAATGATCATGATGGTAATCAGTAGATTAGGTCTGGCAGTTACCATTCCTTCAATCTTTGTTCTGATATAACAATAATAATATCAGTCATTGTAGCCTATGGATAAGAAATAAACATAACTACCCGAAGTTTGTGCTGATGATGTCGTTCAGAAGGATGATGAAAGCTCGACAACCAAACCATCCAACTCAGAGAACAAAACTTCATCAAAATGATATCAGTAAATATTTTTCTGAAAGTTTCAATGTTTTCGTTAAATCTATGGAGTAATCAGGTTAAAATAAAATATTTGGTGAAAATTAAATAAGATATTTAGAATTAAAGAAAATTACATTTTAGAATTTAGCGAGTGATAATTCTTCGCAATACTGAACAATCATCGCATATTACGTTCAGTGACTAACTGTCTAACACCTGACATGACTGAATAGCTTTGATCGCGGCTTCCCGTGAATGCACTCTACTGAGAAGTCCCATATGGATTGAGATATTTGTTCAGTGGTTCCTGGTCTTCAATGATGGTTTAACTCGGATCAGTTTGCTACTCAGTCTATGAAACTTCTTCAATCTTTAAAAACTCTCCGGTACAAAAGATAATTTCCTCGTTAACAATTCAGCTTTATTAGTGTTGACTGGTTTCATTAGTTCACTTATTAATCAAAGAGGTATAATTTAGCAAACTGACTTTTTCAAAAGATTATCACAAAAGAAGTTTATCATGGTATGAAGAAATTGTTTATGTCAAAATTAAGAACAATCCTTCCATTATACATAGAGCGAATGGGTTATATTTCGAAGTAACGTAACCATAATTAGCCTTCTTTGTACTATCTTGACTGTTAGTCTATACACTTCAGAAGAAATGAAAAAGATCTTGATGGAATAAAAAATGGAGACGTGAACTACAAAAATAGGAAATAGGAGTTTTGTGACATTATCTAGCTTGAACAATAAAACTTTACTCTCTACATGTTGGTCGTTCGCTTTAGTTATATTCTCTGATATAACTAATAGATGTAAATAGAGAGCACATAACTCTTTCGTTTCTACAACTTATATATATACATAGTTGTTATCAGCTGTTTATTTTCTGCTTTTAGGAGAAACGATTATAAACTTGTCAGTATCAAACGACTCTAATAACGAAAACTCTCAAACAACTAGTTCAAATGCTCAGACTAATCATCGTTCAAACTATTTCCACAATGGATCATCTCCATCTTCTGATTCTCCAAAGCATAACAATATTAATATCAGATTAAGTATTGTTACCAGGTCAAGTTCCCCGAAACCAGTAATAATAATTATTATTAATTGATATTAATGGTATTATTATTATTCATTATTAGTAAAAAATTGTTTTCAGTGGTCTATCGGTTAAGTGCTCTGGTGCGAGACTGGTAGGTCCTGGGTTTGAATTTCGCGAGTGAGGGATCGTGGATGCGCACTGCTGAGGAGTCCCATAATAGGACTAAATGGCCGTCCAGAGCTTCCAGGTTTTCCATGGTGTTCTAACTTCAATCGACTCATGATTTTAGCTATGAAAAAATTGTTTTGTTTAATTTCACTCGAAAAGTCAAGTTTTTATTTGTTAGAATTTACTACTATTTATTTAACTATAATAAGTATAGCATGATCAGTACAATAGTCAGGTCAGAAGATAAGAAAAATATGATAATATGAGCAAAGTCGCACCAAGATCATGCCGGAAAGTTGTCATATTTCAAAACCGTGAAAAAAAAGAAGAAAAAGAAAAAAACTGAACTTAATGAATTAATAAAGAGGGGACTTAATCGGTTATACGATCGTCAGAAGAGGTTTTTGTGGAGATTTTAGTAATTTAATAGTTGAATTCATGGGTAATTGAAACTAGACCACCATGGAAAACCTGGAAGCACTGGATGGCCGTTTCGTCCTAGTATGGGACTCCTCAGCAGTGCGCATTCACGATCCTGCTCCAGGAATTCGAATCCAGGACGTGTCGATCTCGCGCGCGAACGCCTAACATCTAGACCACTGATCCGGCATCCAATGGTGTTAATGTCTAACTTCAACCAATCCACGAAATTGCGCCACCGCCCATCATTGTCTCATACTAGGACGAAACGGCCGTCCAGTGCTTCCAAGTTTTCTATGGTGATCTAGCTTCAGTCGATTATAAGATTACTCATATTTTACTAAAATCTTATTTAAAACAATAATTGAAACTGTCTTTCTTTACGAATCCAATTATTCACATAAATTTTGCCGTTTTCCAATTGGTTAATATTAGTTCAAGTTCGTTAAATTTCCTCACACTTGAAGACCACGTTTTCGTTACTATGTGGACGAAGCTGACACTTTTCTGCTTGTACTACTTCAAATATCAAGATTTCCTACAATTCGTCTTTCTCTTGTGTGAGCAACCGAATATTACGGTGATGTATTCTGGTTCTCATTACCGTTTTACACAGTTGAACCGATCATATTAGAGTAGATCAATCGTTCTGAATTCCACGAGTATTGTAGGTTCGTATTGAACAGAAATGAAAAAAGGAACATTTGATGTAAACAGATTATAAATTACTCATCGGAAGTTAGATTTTACATACTGCTAATTAGGATCGTGTATTGAGTTCTTTTTTCCTCTTAATTAAGTAAAAACTCAGACCTAACTTAAATGACTTGCATAACATCAATTGCAAACTACTCTTTAATTGTGTGAGCTGTGAATTTTCAAACATCGGCATTCAGATCAACTAAATTTACTTATTAACAATTAGTGTATGATACTGGCTGACTACCACTTCTTCATTGTTAATGTCAGGTATTTAACAATGGTATGTTAATGATTTGAAGATTTCATTTAAAAAATAGTCGATGTCAACACATTTTATTTATCAATATGGGAATTTGTGGAGATTGTAGTATTTTAACGGCTACATTCACAATTAGATCTAAGCTAGACCACTACTGATAACCTGGAAGTACTGGATAACTGTATCGTCCTAGTATGGGACTCCTCGGCAATGTGTATCCACGTTTTATTTAGTCAATGAGAATCAATATATTCATTTTGGACTGTAATAATATAAAATAGTTGTTGGAGGTTGTCATCAGGCAAGCCTGGATGTATGTTTTGTGCTACTTGGCAATTGTCAGCAAGGTGTACCTGGAATCTTGAAAGAACTGATGCTCCCTGACGAATTAGATCCCGTGTCACCCAGTTTCACAGTCACAGACGCTATCACTGATCTCCTTTAGGACTAAGATGTATTTACAATCGATTAATTACTGGGTGGTGATCAATGTCATGTATGTCAGGTGCTTCTTAGTGCAGACCGAGTACCAAGTAGCACGAAATCTAGGTCCAGGGGTTCCTGTTGACTACCTTCAACCACCATCTTATCTCAACATAGTGTATGCAATGTTGAGTCACCTAAACTAGTGGCCGAAGTGCAACTTGGTCGATAAGATTCGGTTCGCACTAATAAGGACCTGGTATACATGACATTGATCACCGCCCGGTGGTCAATTAATTGTAAGAACTGTATTGATTTTTAACTCAGTAAAAAAATAAAAATAAACCAAAAATTGTGTATCTATTTTATTTATTCTTTTTGGTGACATTATTTAAATAAGATCATAATGATTTGATGTGCTTATTGGTGTGTTAAATCCTTTAAATATGTTTGTACTAACATTCTATGAAAAACTTGTAACAATCTAAATTCTCGAATCCACTTAGTATTGTTTGTTTGAATATTCCCATTGATGTTTAGGACTGCAAATGGTCAGTCTCTTATTGGCATATGTGCATGCTGTGCGTATTGCCTCTATATTGCCTTAATTAACAAGCATTGTAAGCAAAGATAAATAGTGGCTAGCAGTGGAATTCAGTTTGACGCGCGTCACTTAGTCCTATTTAGGACTCGTCATCTGGATGTACCTGCATCTCAGAGTTGATGTTCACTCTGAGACTCACTCGAACCCAGTACATTTCGCTTCAAACACCATCACGTTATCCACTCAGCTACTGAGTCCTGATATCCACTTGTTTGTGCAATGGGGTGAAGTTTAAATTCACTTGGTATTATTTGTTTGAATCTTCCCATTGATGTTTAGGACTGCAATTGATCAATCTCTTATTGGCATATTTACATACTGTGAGTATTACCTTGATATAGCCTTAATTCACAAGTATTATAAGCAAAGATTATATATCTGTTTTATTTATTCTTTTTGGTGATATCATTCAAATATGACCAATTGTCTATAACTTCATTGTTCTTTCATTTCTACACCAATCATTTTCTGTTCTCGTTCTCTTTTCTTTGATCTTCTTAATGTTCTGCAGCTAAGCATTTCGCTTTCCATTGATGATACATACTACTTATATCTGTCGATATTAGTAGCACATACCACAGTCTGACCTATAGATTAACAATCTATAAATGGATCAAAATTCAGTTTTTTTTTAAAAAAAATATTTTCATGAAAAGTGAAAAAAAATGGTATAAAAGTAAATTTAATTTGAATCCTTTGATCATTGTAATTTTCTCTTACTATTAGATTACAGATAAGAAAGATACTTTCTGTACAGTCAAATGTTTTATATACATTTCAGTTTAAATATACATTGAAGCTTATTCCTCTACCACAAACATCGAATTCAACTTATATAGAAGAAATATATGAAGTTATCGATAATGATAATAAATCATTTAATCAAATGTCAAATATGAAACAAATGTCATCAGACAAAAGCTCAAATAAAGTAAGTAGTTTCATTATTATTATGTAATCTTATATAGTTGAACTCATGAGTCAATTGAAGCTAGACTACCATAGAAAACTTGAAAGCACTGGACGGCTGTTTTTTCCTATTGTAGGACTCCTGAGCAATGCGCATCCACGATCTCGCCTCCCATAATAAGACGAAACGACCGTCCAGTGCTTCCAGGTTTCCCATCGTGGTCTTACTTCAATTGACTCATGATTTCAACTATATAAAATTACTAAAATCTCCACAAAACCCCCTTCTATTATGTAATCTGTTTGTTGATATGAATTTGAAACTTGACAATAGACTGAAAATCCGAAATTTGTGCTTATGATATCGTTCAAAAGAACGATGAAAGCTTCACGACCAAACCATCTAGCTCAGTGAACAAAACTCCACCAAATAAAAGTTGTTTATCTCTAGACTATAGTTTAGTTTGAAACCGTTAGATGTGTACACTTTATTCTATACCATTTAATAGTAATCAAAAATCAGGAGATGAATATATCATGACTAAATTCAGTTACAATTCAAATGTGAAACATCCTTCGTGATCAATTTCGTCTATCGAAAGGGACTAGAAAGTTGAGTTATAGAATGAAAGTGATAAACATTATAATTTATACTTTCTAGTTCAAAGCAAAAACGGGTCTGAAAAAGAGGTGGTATTCACAATACCAAGGCACTCTAAAGAATAGGAATCTTTTAATACTTATATAAAAGTAATTTAGAACAAATAAATTTTTCAAATGGAAAAAAGGAATGAAGAAATACCTAATTTAATGTAATTAATACCAAGTCATACTGTAGTGAATAGTACACGAGTGGGAACAATCGAATGTATTTGGGCACAAATTACAGACTATCTCACTAAATTCTGACAACCATACAGTAGACAGTTAGCAAGCAACTGTCTCAATCTTAACTGTTTCTTCTGTAAAAATATCGGTCCGTCTTCTCTAATTCCATTGTTCATGCATTTTCCAACCGATTGCGCTTCGTTTCAGTTCCTTCCTCATAGGTCTTCTGCCAAAATACATTCTATGTCTGACCATCACCATATATTACTTGTGTGGATATAAACAGACCACATCACAATACAAATCCTTATGAGATTATTTGAAAATCAGTATTTTACTGGCACTTAATAATCAGTTATAATTAAATCAAGTTGATGCTCTAACTATTAATGGCTATTCATAGTCTATCTGTCAAACCGTATTCAATATTTAGTCAACAAACTTTTGTTTAGGTAAAATATTGAAGTTTGGAGACCAGTTCCATGTTTCGTAGTTCTATAGTTGGTTGTATTTTTTAGTGGCCGAATATTTGACTCCAATTAAATCGTATGCTAATTGTTATAGAAATGCACATAACGGCTATCGTCTTACATAATTACTAACTTAATTCCCTTTGGAGAATAACTGAGAATAACTGCTGAGGAATCCCACAATAGGACGAAACGACCGTCCACTGCTTCCAGGTTTTCCATGATGGTCTAGCTTCAATGGACTCATGATCTCAACTATATGAATAAAATAAGTCAAATGCAAAAATCAATTTTGAACACGTATATTTCATACACTCATTAATCTGGACAGACAATCAGAGAAATGAAGTAAAGGAGGCCGAATGAGACGAAACAAAGTGCCGCGTAGAGCAGAAGGAAAGTGAGCCAACTCGTTCTGATCAAGTGTAACTCAATATATCATATTCAGACATAAATACATTACAGACACCTAATGAATAAGGCAAGCAGTGAACATAAATACAATCATATTAAAATAGTCAGGATTAGTAAGCGAATAAGTGATAAAGTCAAAATGTAGCTTGAAAAGAATGAATAAATTAGTCTGTTCAAAAGCTTGAATAACCTATGTGAACTTGACATAGTGTAGTGTGGTCTACTTATATCCATATAAGTAGTATATGGTGTTGGTCAGACATAAAATGTATTTTGGCAGAAGATCGATAAGGAAAGAACTGAAATGAAGCGCAATTGGTAGGAAAATGCATGAACAATGGAATTAGAAAATACAGACCGATATTTACAGAAGGAACAGTCAAGACTGAGACAATTGATTGATAGTTTGCTAATTAACTATTTACTGTATGGTTATCAGAATTTAGTGAGATAGTCTGTAATTTTTGCTTAAATACATTAGATTGTCCCCAGTCGTGTTCTGTTCACTGCAATAGTACCAGCCACTACAATTTCATCTCAGAGAAAAACGTACCAAACAATGTCAGATACTATAACTTTTGGATGCTACAATTCTCTCAATGTTAAGTGGAAAAAAGATTTTCTCACTTCATAAGGAAAGAAATGTAATGCTAAAGAAATTCTATTAGCTCAAACCAGGCACACTAGTAACTCAAATATATGAATGAACAATAAAATTATGTTAGTTTTAACCCATGTCGTTTACATTTGAAATAGTCTATCAAAGAATATGGAGGAACAATCAAAAGATAACATACATTACTAACAACATCTACTTAAATTTATGTTCACTAGATTGCTTTTGATTTACACCTCTGCTTACTTTAATTATCATATCAGACAAATTACTCAAAAGTTTCCCATAATCTAATCTCACAGTTTAATATCATTTGTTTATCAGGTGGATGAAACCTACTTACATCTTGCAAAAGAAACTTGTGATCATTTGGACAAACAAAAATCAAATCGAATTTTGAACATTGAATCACATTCTCTGCCATCGAATTCTCTGAGAACCCAAACACAGGTAGGTAGATACTCAGTATACTCATTTGTCTTGATCATTGATGTAGCTAAACCGAACAGAATGACAAATAGGTTATTCAGTTGCAAATGGTATTACTTGTTAATAAATGTCATACACTCTCAATCGTTTTAGTTTAGATTTGTGTCGGGAATAGCATATTTGATTCACAACGTTGTTAACTATAATTATTCCACTGAAATCATCGACCGATCAATGTTAGACCACCATTAGAACCTAGAAACACTGGACGGCCATTTTATCCTGGTATGGGACTCCTCAACAGTGTTCACCACAATCCCACAGGCAGGACTCAAACCCACAAACCTAGGTTTTGCGCACAAACACTTAACCTCTAGACCACTGAGCTGACATCCAACGGTGTTAATGTTTAAATTCAATTAATCCATGATCCAGCGCATCTATTACCTACGGTGAGTAACTACATCGCACCCGATAAGGATGAACTCAACTAGTTACGGTTTCTCACTAGAACTCCGAGAACTACCTTTCGAAGCTAGTCACTGGTGAGCATATGATGATTTTCAGTATGTGTTTGTACATATTGTTGAATTTTATTGAGATGGAAGGTTCTGAGTTTGATTCCCTGTGTTGATGTCGTGGATGAACACTTCTGAGGAGTCCCATAGAAGAATGAAGCGATTGTCCAGTGCTTCCAGGTTCCAACGGTGTTCTAACATTTATGGGTTCATGATTTCCATGACATTCAACAATCTCCACAACTCCATACTGAAAATATGATTGCTACATTAAACGAATCACTCAAAGGTTCCCCATAATCTATTCTCACAGTTTAATATCATTTGTTTATCAGGTGGATGAAAATCACTTACATCTTGCAAAAGAAACTTGTGATTATCTGGATAAGCAAAAATCAAATTGAATTTTGAACATTGAATCTCATTCTCTATCACCAAATTCTCTGAGAATCCAAACACAGGTAAGTAGATACTTAGCATATTCATTTGTCAAAATCAATAGAATAGTTCAAATGAATAGAATAACAATCAGCTTAGTCATTTATCAACGGCATTATACCTTGGTGATTTATTTCAATTATTTTCAGGTTTATTTATTTTGTTTTTTTCATGGATTCATCAGTTCTTCAGATTGACGTACCTGATGTATAATGCTTAATTAACCATTCACTGTGAATAAACAATTTATACGACATATTTAGATCCTTTTCAATGATTAAATAAACTTTATAAAATGGAAAATTCATAGTTATTATTTTAGTGGCCCTTAATTTGACTCCAATTTGATTGTTTCTGATTGTCATCGTATGACTGTTGTCAAAATGTAACTCAAGAAAAATGAATAAATTGGACTGTTCGGAAGCCAGAATAAGTGATGTGGGCAATATTCTGAGCTTTTGTCTTCTTAATAAATCCGTGAAGTAGTTGCCGTACTCGGACGTTCATCTTAACTCTCTTTCTCGTTCTCTCTACTCCATTCTCGATTACCTGTACACTAAGTCGAGTATGTAAACTGATGATTGAAAAATAAGTTCAATTAATTACAATAACTGCTATCACTAGTTCATATGGATGCTAGGAAATGAGAGTGTTATATCCTGAAGAGAATTGTGAATGGTAACTTTGAGAACTATTTATGGACCAATATGATGTGTATATTTCCTATTGTATAATTGTTAAGTAACTAAACTATTCATATTCGCGCTCCTCTTATGATAAGCTTTATTTTGACCTATAGACTATTATTATACGATTCAAAATTCTTGAGTTATACCCAGTCTATTGATTACTGTTCCCCCTATTCACAGCCACATTTGGCTAAATCTTGTAGAAATATTATTTTCTATTTTATGGTTCGATGTGGTCTGTCTGTCTTTTTGGTATATAAACCCAGTATGTTTGAGAATAATGATTCATACTGTAGAGGCTGTTATTGGTGTTCTGGACTTAACTGACTGGGCTAAGCAGAAAGCAGGACTGATAGGTACTCAAGACTGCTCATACGGTTTTTGTGTATTATTAATCCGATCGATAAATTACTGCTCTCTAATTGGCGGTATTATCACTTCATATATATCAACAGGGCAAGAACGCACTCAATCGATATAAAAGTTTTGTGTATCATTAATCCGGTCAGTAATTTTACTGCTCTCTCGTTGGTGAGAATTAGCACGTTTATATATCAAACAGAGCACGCACGCACTCACCCAATCGATACAACAGAGAGCATTAGTTAACTATAGAGTTTTTATTTAAATAGGAGAGATTCACTAATCTCAGTATTTTGACCACTGGATATCTTTTGTTTGTTTAAATAACTTTGTTTTCATTAATGGCAACAAATCAGAACAATCTATATGACATAGGAAATTTTTATTTAGAAGAAATGAATAGCATCATATTCGTCTTCATCAGACTACCTGTTTTGACTATAAAAAGGAAGGAACTGAACTGAATCAACTGCTTAAGTTGTATAACTATCAAAAACTTATCGGTATTGATTACCTTATTTTTATGCTGAAATTGTACTACTTGCTGCCAATCAGAACTAATCTCTTACAACATGGTCAATATCTGATAAAACTGTGTGTATGCTTTGTATTCGAGCAAATCGCTTCAGTAATATGCTAAATGAGTTCAGATTTATAACAGTTGCATACATCTTATTCTTCAGTTATGTCATCAGTCTAAAATGTAATACAAACTAATAAATGCAAATCAGGATTATAATTTGTAATTCGACCATTAAAAGAAGTGAGACTTTGTGGTGCACTTTGGCATATTTAATAGAAAAAAAAGAGCTAACTTTACTCTTTAACAAAGCCTATCTGTAACCCTAAAACCAATAACATTCATAAATTCAGATATCAGTATGAGAGAGTGTCCATCCCCCAAATCCAGAGACAGATATGCACTGTTAGAAATGTTTTGGTATGATATAGGTCTAAATGACTGAATTCAGACATCAAAGTAACTGCAAACATGCTTCACCCTCCATTCAAGATTTGGGGGGGAGAATAAGTGCCAACAGAGTGGAAAGAAGGATACCTCATCAATATACCAAAGAAAGGAGATCTGAGCAAATGTGAGAATTACAGAGGAATCAGTTTGTTGTCAGTACCAGGAAACGTTTTCAATAGAGTGTTGCTGAATCGGATGAAAGACGCAGTAGACGACCAACTTCGAGATCAACAGGCTGGATTCCGTAAGGATCGGTCGTGCACAGACCACATTGCGACACTACGGATCATCGAGGAACAATCAATTGAGTGGAACTCATCACTACACGTCAACTTCATTGACTATGAGAAAGCGTTTGACAGTGTGGACAGGAGAACATTATGGAAACCTCTTTGACACTATGGATCTCCTGAGAAGATTGTCAACATTATCCAGAACTCATACGATGGACTACAGTGCAAGGTCGTGCATGGAGGACAGCTGACAAATGCATTTCCAGTAAGGACCGTAGTCAGACAAGCCTGTCTGTCTCACCATTCCTCTTCCTTTTAGTGATTGACTGGATTATGAAGAATTCGACATCTGAGGGGAAGCACGGAATACAATGGACATCTCAGAACCAATTAGACAATTTGGACTTCGCAGATGATCTAGTTCTCCTATCTCATACACACGAACAAATACGGACGAAAACAGCAACTGTAGCAGCAGCCTCTGCATCGATAGGTCTCAACATACACAAAGGAAAAAGCGAGATTCTCAAATGCAACACGGAGAACCCCAAGCCAATCACACTTGATGGCAAAACTCTGGAAGATGTAGAAACATTCACGTACCTGGGAAGCATCATTGATGAACAAGGAGAATCGGTTGCAGATGTAAAGGCGAGGATTGGCAAAGCAAGGGCAGTATTCCTATAATTGAAGAACATATGGAACTCAAAGCAACTGTCAACCAATATCAAAGTCACAATCTTCAATATGAACGTTAAGACAGTAAGTTCTATAGTAAGGAGCTGAAACTTGAAGAACTACTACAACCATCATCCAAAATGTACAAGTATTTCTTTCCAGTTGTTTACTCAAAACACTCAATTCCCGTTGGTCAGATGCCATCAGCAACAGCCTCCTGTGGGAGAGGACAAACCAGCTTCCATCTGAAGAGGAAATTAAGAAAAGACGATGGAAGTGGATAGGACATAAATCGAGAAAGTCATCAAACTGCATCACGAGGCAAGCCCTAACTTTGAAGGAGGAAGGCCAAAGAATAGCAACTGGAAAGAACTGGAAAGGATTGTTCAGGACAGGGTTGGACAAAGAATACTAGTGAGAGGCCTATGCTCCTCTATGAGGAGTAACAGGTGTAACAACAACAACAATAGGGCCGTAGTTTTATATCTCCGAAGATACCTTTAAACTACTTGACTACTTGTATAAAGGTCGGTGACGAATAAGTGCTTTATCTTAACTAAATAGAAGAACCTGAGCAACGTGTCAAATATGAACGATTAACAAATCTACAAATAGCACTACTAAACAACCACTACATTAACTCGGTCTGGCCTTGGTGTGATTATGCTTAGATTATTCGTCAATTACGAACTTGTACATTTTAAGAGTAAGTTACATTGACACATTTGTTGTGTTCTCTAGATGCTTTTGTGTATATGCCATTTTTGTCACCACGTTTTTTCTGTTTAATAAATTGTGTTGATCCCTGCTATTGCATTGTGTTAATTTTTGGTTGTAGAAGCAAATAAAGTTTTATAAGCGAAATAGCTTACTTTTTTAACTTGACTCACTCCAAGACTTTGTCTCTGATAGCCTAGGGAATTCATTAGGAAATTCATCTATAAAAATGATCATAACGAAGACCAGCTTAGAAAAAACGGACGGAAAATCATTCCTCTGAAACAGTTAGTTGGCTAGATTTCATGTGATAGAGAGGAAGAAGTTGAAATAGACAAATTACGTCAACAGTAAAAATAGAAAGTTTTTATCAGTTGGTGTGTAACAAGGAGAACAATGTATCTAAAACACGTGTTTACCAAACAGAAATTTTAAGGTTCTATGGTACATCCGTAAATTACTGAGATTCGACAAAAGATTTTAGAGAGTGTTTCGATGGCGAGAACACTGAATTTAGAGCAGAGGTGAGTTGCTGCATAATAGAATATTGCTATGGAGAATCTAAATCTGCCATTCTGTATTATTAATTGTTAGAACAGGAAATAGGTTACCATCAAGCATTGGAGCTTTTGGAGTAAGCTTTTGGACCAAAGCAAACTGGAGCACTCACGTTCATTGATAATTTATTAAATTTTCTTAATATAAGAAGAAACCGTCCCAATTGTTTGGGAAATTTATCTTGAGAAATGCAAGTACTTGTACTGATTTCTGGACATATGAGTTACTCTACTGATTTGAGCTCATCTAGGACTATAGAAACTATGGCTTTTAAATTACTAATACATTTTCAGAAGAGAATGGACAAGGTTAGTCTACAATTGAAGGAGGCCGAGGGCCTTAGTTGGGTGCTGTTGTCATTCAATTTAAAGGCTTGTGACACAGTGTATAACCAGACTAGACCTCACACAAATGTGTGGAGAGCAGAGATATCAGTTATTCATGGGTGCGTCGCAACAACGATTTGATCAGTAAATACTAGCTCATCAACTGAAGAAGCATGGTTCATACTTAAATGTTCAGTTAGTCTAGTCAGGTCCTCGTTTTTACCATGCTTAGTACCACACAGACCGAATAACTGTCTACCGTGGATAACTAAGCAGGTCAAGAAATTCAGACGTGAAAAGAAGCATTGTGGTATGTTCATGTCTATTATCTGCGCAGTACGGATTAATTTGTTGTAAGGCCAGAAATGCTTGCAAAGCGTTGATAAGTCAGGTTAGACATCCGCATAAAAACAATTGGTTAGAGATTGTGAAAATAGTCCGAAAAGCTTTTTCTCGGATATGAAGAGGAAGACTCAGAAAAGTGATAGAGTCATACCACCTGGTACAACAGCATCCGTCAGTATTAACAAGCAATGATGTTGAAAAAGCCGAAACTTTATCAGAACATTCTAATAAAGTGCTTTCAACCGATGATGCTGAAAGACCAACAGTTAGTCGTGATAATGACAACTTGACGATGGATCCTGTGTTTATTGAGAAAGGAGTTGTCTTACGACTACCGCAACGTCTCAAACCAAATATGTCCAGTGATCCGGACAGTATTCATCCCAAAATTATGAAAGCCCTGACGGATGTAATTGCTGAACCCTTGAAAATACTGTCTGACGTCTTCGAGGCTATTTGGACTGCATAGAGGCTGGTGAAACGCGACAATCAATTCGCTTTTATAAAGAGGGTAGTAGGGACTCATTCAGCAACTAACGACTCCCTAGTATGTAGCAGTATTGATTCTCCACATCATGGTTCTTGAAACCGTACATACGATAACCCAGAAAATTCACATTCAACATGTCGTTCTTAGAGGTGTTCAGAAAATGTGAACACTGAATTGAAATGGCATGTTTCGACTACACACGTGTGATCACTTTGTGTAACCTGTCGCTTTTTGTATTGAATATATTACTCTCTTCCCAACGGAAATATGTTCTATAGAAGTGTTAGACGTCATATTGCTGACTGTCACGTAGGATGAGTCAGTGTAGATTATGATGTGATTTCTACATTATGACAAATCTACAAGTTTGGGATTAGGTCTATTATCATAGTAGGAGAGATCAGTGTGATAAAACAGAAGTAGACCGTAATTCTACAGAATTCGGGATGCTCATTTTATTCCATTCCAGACTAGTCATATGGATGTGCCTGTAACAGCTTG